TTATTAAAGGATAATTGTGTCTATTTCTTCTCATTTGGGGGTCTTATCACACGATCAAATGAAGATCCAGAAAGTTTTACTCCTTTCACGTTGTTAAGGTTGGCTCGACGCTGAGGAAGCGGCTCATCCTATTTCTAGTGCTTTCCAACCTGACAGACTCCTCTCCTGCCGCCGAATCAGACAGTGCCCTGCTGCTCTTCACAAGGTTTTCACTGGCCAAGTCTTTCAGAAGTTCACAGCCAGGTCCTCCTTCCTCATCTGTCTGAATCTGGAAGGCCCTCCGAAAGCTGTCCACCGTGGTGATCACACCCATTCTGAAATATCAGTGGCACAGCTGCTAGCATCACAGCAAGACCCAAGCCACCATGAAATAGAGCAAACAGCGGGCCCAGCGATGGGAATGCCTTCCGGACCCTGACCATCCATCCATTTCTCCCCAGCTTTGACACAAGAGAGGAGGGCGTTTCGAGCGTCCACTGAGGGGGCTGGGGCCAATTCCCAGATCGCATCTGCTGCCAGTCCAGTGTGAATGATACACAGCAATCAGCATTTGTCAAAGCAAATGAGGTCATAAACTATGGACAAAGAAGAGAGCCTCTTGCCAGTGGCCTGGGGTACACATTCAGTTGAGCAAGCCCATTAGAAAATGACAAATTTTTCTTCTTTCTCCAGGCTCTCTCAATACTTATCCAGGACCTCTCTATCAGTATGTGTGCAAATACAGTCTAACAGTCTCATCTTGAAAGAAAAATGAAAGCTCACTCTTGACCATCATGTTCATGTCCAAGTAAAACATTCATTGGCATCTTCTCCTTTTCATTCAAATTTTCTCACAAGTTGACTTCATCATTTTACCACCTTACAGTTTCTATGGTCCCCACTAGAGGGCTTTGCATGAGTGTACCGTCAAATCAGATCTGACTGGTACAGGAGGAGATTGTCCCTCCTTTTCCCCAGCAGAGCATCTGGTGGATTCGAACCGTGTGCCTCTGGGATTGTAGTTGCAGCTCCTTGCCACTAGGCCACCAGAGCTCCCCTGATCTCTTAATTCTTAATATCATCCACAAGCAAGATTTTGAAGATCATTTAAAAATTACTGTAGCCATTCAGGAACTGCCAGAAATTCAGGCTGGATTCAGAAGAGGCATGAAGTAGCATGAAAGGTATCATTGCTGATAGTAGATGAATCTTGGCTGGAAGCAAAGAATACCAGAAAGATGTTGATCTGTACATTTGAATTATGGTGTTGCTGAAGACTATTGACTATATGTATATACATGGACTATTAGAAGAATGAACAAATTTGTCTTGGAAAAAGCACAGCCAGAATAATTCCTTAGAAGCAACTTCATCCTGTGTCCTCTGGACAAGGTATCGGGAGGAACTAGTGCCTGGAGAAAGACACGCTTGGTAAATGCAGAGGAATACCCTCAACAAGAGAAGACCGATGAGGTGCCTGCAGCCGTGGGCCCAGCGGGTGAAACGGTGAGGCTGGGACCGGACCGGGCACTCCTCAAAGAGAAGGCTGCAATGAGCTGCAAGTGGTTCAATGTCAACTACCAACAGCCCGACCTTGACTTCCTGGTTCCTCTGCCAGAATACAGAAGCTCCACGAGGGAAATTTATGTCTTGCTCACTACCGCATCCAGGAGCTATCAAATAAATAGAAAACAGGAGAGATGCTCTTGCAGTATTCTGTGATTACAAATGCTGCAATAAATAACGCATGTGGGCAGTCTCCTTCCCTGTGATTAACAGCCTCTGAAAACCCGCTGGAGAGCCAGCCGTGGGCGGTGCTGACCTGAAAGCACATGGCCACCACAACCACCACAGACACATTACATCTTAGAAGCGGGACCGCGGGGTCATTAGGCAAATGCATGGGTCATTCTGTTACCAAATATCCTTCCAAAAGGGCCTCACCAATTTATACTTCCCCCAACGACGTACAGGAATGCATGTTTCCCTCCTGCCTTGCAAATAAAATGCGCTGTCCCAGTCATTCTAAATCCTGCCTGTCAAGGGAGCTCTGGTGGCCTAGTGGCAAGACGCTGCACTGCAATCCCAGAGGTATGCGGTTCAAATCCACCAGATGCTTTGCTGGAGACGGAGGGGGCAATCTCCTCCTGTACCAGTCAGATCTGATTTGACGGTACACATAAAAATAATACGATAAGAACTTTTAAAAAAATAAAAAAAATTTAAAAATCATTGAAAAAAAAATGAAAACAAAACAAAAAAAAATCCTGCCTGTCTAGGGAGCTCTGTGATTAAGGCTAAGCCACCAGCGGAATTGCGCTCCTAACCCAAAGATACTCGGTTTGAATCCAGCAGCCGCTCCGCAGAGGATAAGTCATCCCTGGCCGTGTTTGGCTATGGTCAGTTCCAACTCGGTGATCCACAGAAATGACAGCAGTCTATGAGAAATGGTACCACAACGTTGTTAAGTCTGCATTTTAAAAAGGGTTCATTTGAATATATTCAGTTCATATGTTTGAGGGACATTCTGTGGCTTTCCTGTGAATTCTCTGTTCATGTCTTGTCTTATGAATCTATTGGATTTCTGGCCCTTTCAGCCCTCCATGTTTTAGTAGCTTGTGAATCTTTATGACTTCCACGTGATAACCAAACCCTAACCCCACCTCCTGTGAGTGGGTTCCGGTCCAGCGGCCTGGGCATCACCGAGTGGAGGGCTCCCTGGGGTTCTCTTGAATGTCACCTCTACAGAAGCTAAACTGTGAAGCGATTTTTTATGGAACATTAGGGGGTGCCACCCAGCAAGAAGGCACGTCTCACCTAGCTGAGGGACTCTGATGGAAATGAGATGGAGGCAGAAAGACAAACTGAGAGGCAAGAGCAGGCTGGTTTCCTGGAGCCCATCTTCATCCGCTCATGAATTTGGTCACATTTAGTCAGGGAGAGCCTCCTGGGAACCCACTGGACAGGAACTTCCACCGCAGAAGAAATGACCATATGGTCTCCATCCTCTGGGACGGTGGCTGACCCAAGGACATCATATGCCAGGTGGGAACAGCGTGGTGACGTCGGGTGGGGAGGAGGGGACGTGAGGACCCGGAGACCTGTGACAGCCGCAGCACCTCTGAGGTGCCAGGGGAGAGGCTCCGCTGGACCATGCACGTCCACACGGAATTTAAAAATACAAACCCACAACATCCAAAGGCAATAGCAGGCTGCATAGCTACAACCAACAACACAGGATGCACTTAGACAGAGAAATGGGCTCTCGGTGGAGGATTTATTGGCTGCTGCACAGCAAGGGAAGAAACACATTTCCCCAAAGAGACGCAGAGACTGAACAATGGCCACTAGGGGACAGTTTACCTACAAAGTCCCAAAGATGGTCCTGCCACACCCAGAGCCCAGGAAGCAACGGCTCCGTCTGCCCTGAACTGTTACTAATCTGTCACCGATATTCTGGGTGCAGGTGCGAGCTGCCCTTGGTTTACTGAGAACTGGCCCAAACAGGAAGGGCTGGGCTGGCGTGCTTGACCTCGCAGCACTTCCTCCTGCTCAGGCTTGCTCACGGCTGACCCCAAGACATCTGTCACCAGTGCAGTCAGAGGACAGCAGGCACAGGAGCCCATGCTCCTGCGAGGCCTCTTCATTTAGCCCCGCTGCCACCAAAGAAACCACCAGTGACACCCCCACCCCCACTGTGTCTGCAGCTAGACTTCACTGCCCACCTGCAAAAGGCCGGGAGCATCAATGCTTTGAGTCTTTGCCAACTCTGACTCCTCTGTCCAGCCTGTCCCCAAGAGGAAAGGTCTCCCTTTTCCCTGCTGCCTACTTGATTAGGGAGCTCTGGTGGCCTACTAGTAAGAAGATGCACTGCAATCCCAAAGGCAAGCAGTTCAAATCCACCAGCTGTTCAATGGGAGGATGAGCAATCTCCTCCTGTACCATTAACTGCCTCTGAAAACCCGCTAGAAGGTCAGCTATGGGTTGCTTTCAACTCAACAGTCCACAACAACAACAAGCGGTCTGTGGTGCACTGTCACAGCTGAGTGAAGCCAAGATGTCTCTGAACCAATACTGAGGCTTCTCTTGCTCTGTGGCCCAAGGGGACACTGAGCTGTCCCCTTGGATGGAAAAGCATTTCAAAAAGACACTTAAGTCACTCCCCTTTGGAGCCACTGATTTTCAGTGGCTTTTTTCACAAGGACACTAGTGTCTGGGGGCCATGGACACCAGCGTGGAGCTGAAGGTACCAGCCAGGCACCAGGCGTTCCTTCCCCCCACACGGAAATGATAGCAGCTCAAGTGGGACCTCCAACCCCATTCAGGATCCCAGATGTGATTTTCCTAAGATGATGAAGTCTGCAGCATCAGGCGTGAGCCGAACAGCGCATCTTCATGGAAATCTACGAATGCTGTCTGGAGAACTGCTGAGATGCTGGGAGTAATGCTAGCAGCCCCAGGCTCTCCAACACTGACTCTCACGGGAGGGTCCCCAACAGGGTGCAGCTCTCAGGATGTGGCAGCCACGACCGAGGGCACAGGCTGGGGCTAGAAGTTGGGGTGTGGCCCGTGGCACCCTGGCTGGACAACCACAACCTGGAAGGGCTTCAACCTCGCAGAACACCAGTGTCCCAACCAGGGCATCAGATCACTTCCTTGGTATTCTGGGTGGGCTAGGGTCAAGAAAGTGGTCTACAGAGCCTCTGTGACGTGGGGTACCTGGCAGGCTGTCAAAAACAGGTGGACCTTCCTTCAGACCCGCACAGAGGGACCGGCAGCAGGGGCCGCAAGAACAACGCCTGGGAATGTAAGGCAGCGAGCGCTGAGGGCCACACATGCCCTTGGTCCCTTTATCATTGACTCACAAAGGCCAGAGACCCTGGAGGAAGATGCTGGCAATGGAGAAAAGACAGGAGGCCTATCCCGGGCCACACACAGCCTCCTACGTGAAGATTTTCCAAAGTCTGACTGCGAGTAGGCAGCGGCAGGCATTTTCCTGGCACGATCGCTCCTTTCCTGTGCTACGAGCCATACTTCTGGTTTTGGGGCATTAAGATCCGGTCGCGGTTTTGTTCAAAGAGCTCTAACATTTTCTGTCTGTCGTGGTCAGCCTCAATCACCTGGAAGTTAAACACAGGGTCACAGCACTGCACTTGACCCGGCTCTCAGCCTCTCTTCACAGACAGAGGAGAAAGGGGAGGCAGGCAGGACAAGGCACAGAGAGCGAGTGAAAATGAGGTTAGAGCCACAGAACGCCACACGTGGTTCAAGGTCAAGTCTACATTTGCAACCAGGTCTTCACTCAATGATCCACTACAGTTGTCCCTGCAGGAAACAATTACTTTCCCCCTCATCATTCTATACTGTCCAGTTTTCACAGGGAAGGAGGAAAATGAGCTGTGCTTACTTCAGTCCCAGTACAGGAATATCTCACTTCCCAGCAACCTCAGAGCCAGGAGTGAAAGCACAAGTCAGGGGTCCAGGGACACCCCTCACAGCCCGCCCCCAAGGCGTGCATTCTAACTGCCTCAGGGTGTTCACCTGCCCACAGCAATGCAGGGACATCAAGTCAGAGAAGAGGGGTTAGGAAGCAGGGGAACAGAGTGCACACACCTCCGCCGGAAGTGACGCGTGTCAGCAAGAGACAGGAGGGTTCTCATAAACGCAAACACAGAACTCAGACATTAGTCAGCTGGGCAAACAGTCTGACACACCTTAGCACCTCCTAAGGCTGTCACCATGTCACAGCCCAGAACCGCAACCGATGTTCCTTCTGATGACCCTAGTCATCGAGAAATGGTCAGCTGAGGCTCTGTGGCATTCACTGAAGGGACGGTCACTTGGGAAGGATCACCACCCCAGATGCTTAAAACCAAAGCTCACGTAGCGGCTCCGGCCATGGGGAACCACGCTCCCCTGGTGGTGCCGGGTGAGCGCATGCGACCCTGGTCCCCAGGCAGCATTCAGATCAGCATCTCAGCTCTCTCCACCTCTAGACTCAGTCCAGAAATGGGGACCCTTCCACCCACCATCTCCTCCCTCCACATCCTCCAGCTCCAGAGGGCTCAGCCCCACGCAGGCTTCAGTGTGGCTGGCACTCCTGGGGACCCTTCCTTCTCCATGAGGGAGGCAGAACTCACCAGGACAGGGGCCGCCACAGGGAAGCGGCTTCCGCTGAGGAACCACTCTTCATAGAGCTGGTGAATGGCGTCCAGGTACTCCTGCAGGGACAGAGAGCCAGCCATGGGGACGGGGAGGGGCAATCTTCCCACCAAGGTGTCCGTGACCACGGGACAGTGACTTGGACAAGGAGGCCCGGACTCAGATGGGCAGTGGCCAGTACGGCTGGACACCAGCTCGGGCCAGGCCTGCAGCACAGCGGTCAGAGGCACTGCCCCACGCACTGCTCCACACCCAGCCCTGCGTGCAGCACCTCCTGTCTCAGGAGCACAAACCCTGGTCAACCGCAAGTCAAAGGCATCCCCATCACCGCCACTTCTGCCATGTGGGGGCACCAGGTATGGCAGCCCTGATGAACCTCTAAGTCCTCCCTCCGTCTGTCCTTCCAATTTGCTGGGCCACCTGCTAGTCTGACCAGCATCCATTCCACAGAAATGTAGATCTAATCCAAAAGTCTCCAACAAAGGCATAAACTAAAAACTTCAGTTCACTGCCCCAGGGCTGAGAGCACAAGGAACTCAGGGGCTAATAGGCAGAAAGGAGAGGAGGTCAGGGAGGGCTTCCTGAAGGGGGCATTATCTGCACGGCACCCTGGAGACGAAGGAAGCCCCGTATGCAAAGGCCCATTTGTATCCCATTCCATAGAGGATGTCATAGTCATGTGAGTTCTTTGCAGGAGGGAAGGGAGAGAAATCCAGAGAAACAATCACGGTCTGGTCACGCAGATCCCACATGCTATGTTGTGAAGAGTGACTTCACCCCATTGACGGGCATTTGTCCAGAGCTGTGGGGTTCCATGCCTCTGGAGTCGGTATGGAGACATGCCCCCTGCAACAGTGTGGAGGCTTTTTTAGGGTGGTGGAAGACTTGGGGCTAAGAGAACAGTCCACATCTAACACCCCAGTCATGGCCGGAGTCCAGGTGACTGAGCCAACAGAGGCAGGCAAGTGTGTCCCCCCAGTTCAGCTAAGCTCCAGGCCCTGATCCAAGCAACGGGGTGCAGTTAGCAAGCAAGCACAGCCTGCCCCCCTTCACCCCACATTCTGATGAGGAGCCAGAGACCCTCAGGGGTGGAGGCAGACAAGTCCAATGACACCTGTCAGGAAGGGGGGAAACTTCTGAGCATGAGGGTTCAGGTCTTGGGGGCGACACCCCCCCAGGAAGTGAAGGTCTAGCATCTGCACAGGAGCCGAGCTCGGGAGGAAGTGTGGGGCTGGCTGTGCACCCACTTCCTGTTTCCTCCCCACAGCAGGCTTGGGGGGCAGGGTTCAGAAAGGACAGCAGTGGGGCTCTTACCAGTGGGATGACCTTCTCCTCCTCTCTGCATCTCATCTTCAACCTTTGGTGACAGGTCTCAGGAGTGGTCCGGAGATAAACTGAGGTCACGGGAAAACAGAGCTCTAATCACTCTGCTCCTGGCTTAGAAGTCAAAGCCATGGAGCACGGAGGATGCAGGCCTGTGGGCAGGGCCGAAGGGAGTATCTGCCCGGGGCACCAACAGGAGGGGCAGGCTGGGGCGGCCACTCAGCTGGTCCTGTGGCAGGCAGGGCCCCCCCCGACTCCTGCTTCCCTTCAGCATGACTGGGAGGTGGGTAACACCTAGCACAGTGCCAGGCGCACAGCGGGTCCCAGGAAATGTGCCAGTCTGTCCCAACTCCCGTCTGCCCTTGAGGAGAAGGCTGAATGAATCCAGGGAGTCATCCATGGCAAATGTCCTGCCTGTTGCCCCTGCTGATGGGTCCCCCCAAGTACAGTCTCCTCCCTGGGAGGGACAGAGGCTTCTTACCTATCAGATCAACAGAGACGTCGATGTTCTGCACGATCCAGTCAAACCATTCTGACAGAACCACATAGTCCACCTCAGGCATCTTCCCGCTGCAACGAGAGGCCCCGTGGTGGCAAGGGCTGTGTTCGTCCACACAACTCAGCCCCGTTCCCGCGCTGCCCTACTGCCCCACGACGCATAGGAGCGGCTCTCTGCAAGGGTATCGCCAAGACTGAGTAAATGAAAACCCAATGTGATCTCTTACCATCCACTCAAATCCCAAGAATTCATTTTAGAAGAGGAAGCAGCATCGCCAAGAGCATCAGGGGAGCGAGTCCTGGGAGCCCTGGGCATCACAACGACAAGTGGGTGGTGAGACCCCACATTCCAAGTGCTGCCTTCACACCGAGAGCCTCTCAGAGCCCCAGGTCCTAACCATGTGGCCCCGGCTTGCACCTGACAGGCCCCTCCCCGGCAGGAAGGGCCATCACCACTAGCTCCATCAGCTGGAACAGCTGCAGACCACTCAGCCCTTCACCTGCGGGGTCACACTCCCCTGCCAGCCTACAGAATTATTTCAATAAGCCAGGCACGTCCTCCCACGGCACAAGGGGCCCACTACCTGCTGGCTCCTACACGCCTGCCACCCACTCGCCTGCCCCGCTGGCCACCCCACTCCTGCGTGCCGTCGGTCTCATCTGTCCCACGTCCCATGTCACGTGCTCAGCTTTCCTATACTGTGGAGACTGAGAGGGAGCCCCGTCTTCAGCAGTGGGGAGTAGGGTGGTCAGAACACAAGGACCCCGGCCTGTGCTGCCCGGGGAAGGATGGTTTCCAGCATTAGTGCAGGGCAGGCCACCCTGCTGCTCGGCAGGAGGACTGATTTTGGATTTGAACGGCACAGCGGCCACTCGGACCCAGGGCCGCAGTCACACAAAGGGCAGTGTGTGCTGGAGCGGGGCCTACATGCACATCAGCAGGCCTGGTGGACGGTGCCACCTGCACCTGCAGCTGGCATCCTGTGAACAGTTAGGACGAAGGGCCCCCGACAGGGAGGGGCGACGATGCAGGGACAAGCTCTGTCTGTGGGCCCAAGGTCAGATGGGGTGCTGTGCCAGGAATCCCAGGCTTGCCCGTGCCTCCTCTCCAGAGTCTCCCTAACCTTAATTACAGACCTAAGTGAGGATTAAAGGCCCCGAGCCTCCCCACTGCTCCAGGAAACAGCCGGTGCCCTCCGTCCAGCCCAGAAGGCCTTCCCTTGAGGGCTCGCCGGCTCTCTGCAGCACCTCCTGCCTCCTGCTTCTGCTCTTACCATTCCCTGCTACGCCCGTGCCCCAGCCACCCACCCTGGCTGCCCCAAACCCTCTGGCTCTGCCCCGCATCTCAGCTTTGACCCAGGCTGCCTTCCCACCAGCACATGCAGACAACAGTGACTCACACAAAGCCCCTGGCTGCAGCCGGGCCGGCGCCTCGGGTGGGCTGAGAATGTGGTGGGATGTGCCCACAGCCCTGCATACAGACTGTGATTCCTGCTCCAGAAGAAAGGGCAGGATGAACACTGACCCAAAGGCTCGAGGCTGCTCCTTCTGACAGCATCTTCTATGCACAACCCCGTCCCAGTCACCCCGAGAGGAAAGGGGGAGAAAGGGCTTTTCTGACCCCACGCAGAAAGCAGCGATCGCTTCCAGACCCTCAGGTGGGGGGACCTAGCAGTTCCAAATGCTGAGTCCCGAGTCACAATCTTCAAACCGGGAGGTCGCTCCTGGCACCTGATAGCACTCATTGGAGGAACGGACCATGCACATGCTTTACAGTGAGGGAAACTGAGGCTCAGGGGTTACTGCAGCTTTTCTGAGCCACTAACTCCAGGTGAGACCAGAGCCAGGGCTAGGTCCTCCAGACACCAAACCTTGGGCTTCAAACATTCTTTCTTGTAAGGCAAGCAGGCAAGGGGGCCCAGGGACCAGACACAGCAAGATCGAGCGACGCCTTGCCCTGCTCCCTGAGTTCTCAGGGTCCTCTGCAGAGAAGAGCAGTGCTGGGCAGAGCTGTGGAGATGACAGGGTGCCCAAGAAGAGCGAGGACAGCAGGGACAGTCCAGGGCCCGGCCTCAAGGGGTCTTCAGGCGTCAGACCTCAGCAAGGAGGCCAGAACAGAAGACCAGGAGATCACCTCACAATACAGGAGGAAAGCTGGGAGGAGTGGAAGACTCAGGGAAGCCCTACAGTACTGCAGAGACTTCAGGTACAAATATAACGGGTCGACTTGGTAACCCCTAATGATTTGCCTCCCAAGCGTCTTCTCCCATTTCTTAAAATTAACTCACTCACTGCCTTTGAGTCGGTTCTGACCCAAAGCGACCGTCCAGGTTTCTGAGGCTGAACTAGGCTGACCTGTAACCGGTGGAGTCTGTTATTCTCCCTTGAGGAGCTGGTGGATCCCAGCCACTGGTGACGGAGCTTCTGGTTAACGGTGCAACACCCTAAAAGCTACTCATTACTGATTCGGGGTCCATCTGACAATCCTAAATGAAGCCTGGCCCCATCCCAAGCTTTAGAAGAGGCTTACCCAGCCCACTGGTAAGCTCCTGCAATTTGCAGCCTCAGTGAGCCAACGGAGGGTCAAGTAGCGGTCAGTTCCAACTGAGGACAAAGGGGGAGAGAGAATCCCTGAAGGATTCACCCTGGCCCAGCGGTGGGCTCAGTAAACGAGGCTGGGCCATCCGGTGCTGGGCATCCCCCGGCCTGAGCCTGACCTGAGCCAGCGAGAAGTGAGGGAACACTGCAGGGGCTTATGGGAAAGCTGCTGTGTGGGGCCTAGGGGGTACACCTGGCAGACAGCCCTTCTTCTAGGCAGCAGGTAAGAAGTCTGAAACCGTCACAGCCATCCAAACCAGGAACCAAGCATTTTGAGTGGACAAGTCCAGATGTCATCTTAAAGACCTCTAGCTTTTCAAAGAAGTCTTGTCTTGGAAACAATGAAGATGTCTAGTTTCTAGCAGTGACCAGGAAAAGAAAAACTTGACCCGGATACTGCCACGCTTGTCCTGGTTCACAAATTTGGATGTCTTCCTGATTTCTTCCCCTCTTTACATGACATGTAAAATAAAACTACCTTTCTTTTCTAGCATTTTCCCCCCTACACAGTTCAAGGGTGGCCATCATCACAGGGCCTAGGACCACAGTCTGCATAAAACGTGGACGCAGGGCCGTTGAGTGGGAACCGACCCATAGCTGACCCCCCATCAGGCGTCTGACGGCTGCACCTCACTCAGGAGGAGACTGCCCCTCTGTGCCCTGTGGAGCCTCTGGGGGACTCGAACTGCCAGAGGGGCTGCCATTGGGTTAACAGGGCACCTCTGTGGACGAGGCCACCCAGCTCCCTCACCCTAAGCTGCTCTCTCACTACTTGCTGCCTCAGAAACTGGATGGAAGAGTGGAATCGATTCAATAGTGGCTTTCCCCTTATGCTGGGGTGGCAAAACTGGAGGACTGGGGCCCCTGCAGGTCCCAGTGATGGTTCTGGTTGCTGTCACCCTCTCCTGAGGACCAGCGGGCCTCTAGTGTGGCAGCAGGGGTCGGAACAGGGATCTCACACACCAGCTACCTTGTACACAGTATTTATTCTTATTCTCCTAACATTTAAAGAGGTCTGTTTTATTTCCATTTTACAGATGAGGAAAACTGAGGCCTAAAGAAGTTAAGGCCAACTGAGGGTGGATTCAAGCCCAACCCCTCTTGAGGCCCCCATACCAAAGGCTGTTTACTCACTTTCACTAGCCTGTCAATTGAGGGTGATCAAGTCCAGTGTTCCAGTGTCTATCTGGTCTGGCTCTGGACAGAAGACCAGGAGACACAGGCCTGGAATCCCTGGTTGAGACCAGCGTGGGGAGCAGTCTAAGTCCCAGGCCAGTTAGAGAAGGAGAAGGACCTGCTTTCTGTTCCCAACACAGTGTCTGAGTCAGGGCTTCCAACTGTGAGCTATTTCCCCAGCGGTGACCACTCAATCCCCTTAATTCTGTTCCTAGAAAATGCCAACCACTCCTCTTCAACCTGGCCTTCAATTTTCCAGCCCCTGGGGTCCAGTCATAACCGCCTGGGACCCCCATTGACTTGAGTTTCTCACCACCTTCAGCTTTTCATTTCAGCCCAATGCCCACACCTCAGAGGTTCCAAAGAGGAGGTGTAACCGGAATCCTCCCCTTCAGCAATTAATACCAGCTCCCCAAGCCTCAAGTTCCCATTCAGCTAATTATCCCCATTCAGCCCAGGTCAATTTCCAGGAAAGTGGAGGAATCAGAAGAAATGAATCAATACCTCTGTGTTTACTCAACACCCCCAAAGCAAGAAGACCTTTTCAGACATTTTGCTTTGAGGGTGCATCATTCCAGGAGGTGGACTGCACTGGAGCCAGCAACTGAGGATGACAAGGCCAGGCTGTCCCGACCTTCAGAGTCCAGACCGAGTCTATAAGAGATTCCAGGAGGGGGAACGTCAGCCTGGCTGGAGAAGCTGTGCCACTGGCCTGTTTTGCAATGGGGCTGCCCCATTCCTGCACGAAGACTTCTCCTGAGCCTTCTACTAAACGCTGCAGAGGCCGCCTCAACCATGTCACTTTGTAGCTACCAAGTTCCGGATTAATTCTTGCAGGGGGAATCAAAACCTCCCACTCAAGGTGCAGGCAGAGGGCCAGTCACACCCAACGCTCAAGCATTATGTCAGGTTTACGTTTAAAATAACAGTCATCGACCTTTGGGGAGCACAGATCTCTGAAAACAGTCACGTTCTCAGCAGCACTTGTTGGTGGGGACCCACAGCCTTTTGGGGCGGGAGCTGTAAGGAGGGAGGATGAAGTTGCAACATCAGGGCTCCAAGGCCTCCTCAGCCATGATTCATCCAGCCTGGCCGGGTCAAGTCAACGCCCTGCCTTGAGGGGTCAAAGGGGGATGTCATGTATGAAGATCCAGGCAACACACAGGCTCCTTCCAGGGGCCACTGCCTCTCACTGTCTCCAGTTACAGCACTGTCTCCCAGGTCTAGAAGCACCCCAGCACTGGGACCTCAGCTCCAAGTGACTGCTCCTCTAGACGGCTCCTATTAGCCTATGCAAGCAGACCAATCCTATGGAAAACAGCCCCGCTAAAGGAGGTTCCAGGTTCACAGTCAATCCCATCCCCCTGCCCAGAACCGGCCCCTGTCACTTGAATCAACATCAAAGCAACTCCAATTTCCATCCATCTCCTGTGCATCCTCCTAGGGCAGGGATGGGGGGAAGCAGAGAGCAAGAGGTCACGCACAGCCCAAAGATGCATGAGTTGTTGAACTAATTGTTCAGATGTGGAAGGGGGAACTAATTTGCTCTGTACATTTTTATTCAAATCACAGTAAAATAGTCCCCTCCAAAAAAAAGGGTGGCCAGGAAGGGTCAGAAGGTGGGGAAAGGAGGGACCACTTAAGAAAGCAGGAGAGGAGAGGCAGCCGGCATGTATCAAGGGGGAAAAGCGTGACAAGCTCTGTGAGGGGGTGCCAGAAACACCCCAAAACTCAAAGCAGGAACAGTGGAGGCCAGGTAGGCATCCACGAAGGGAAGTGATGGGCAAGGGGGGAAACACCAGCCACTCACTTTCCCCAAACTCCTGAAAATCAGCCATAAACCTCGCACAAGGATGGAGCACACCACTTCTCTGATGTCTCCGCACTGAGACCCCCCCACTTATTCTGCTCCCAGGAAGGCAGAAGCAGCTTTGAGCTATGAGAGTCTGGGTGTTCCAGTGACCAATTACTCACCCCTCCTGCAGCCCTCCCACCTCTGTTGTCACCTGCTTTGGCCAATGAGATGTCAGTGACAAGGAAGCAGAGGCCTGAATGAGTGTCAGGGAGTCTATCCCCTTGTACTTCTCTGTCCCCACAAGAGAAGAAGGCCCACACTAGCTCACTGGTTCTAGAAGAGCGGGAAAGGTAAGAGGAAGGAACTGGAGCTATTCAGACCAGCCAGCCCCCAGACACGAGCTCACCTCCAGCCAAAGTCAGCAGCCGCCTGGCCAGCCGCCCTGAGTGCGTAAATGATAAATGCAGACAGGTGTCTGCCACCTGGGGGCTTGTGACTGTTACACAGCATTGCTACGTGGTAAAAAAGTGAGACAACATAGTAGGGACTTGGTATATGTGTCCACTGAATAAACAAGTTCCAATTTATAGTTTAATAAAATATTAATCGTGCAAGTTTCTGTACCTTCTATAGAGGTTTTCTACAAAAACGTATCTTGCGCTGTGAATCGACCTCTCCATCAAGCGTACAGGTGACATCTAAAGAAAACAAAAAGTTACTCACCAACTCCCCTGTCCCAGGTCTCTGCTAGGGGACAGTCACAGAGGGGCGCTGGGGAGTCTGTAGGTGGTGGCCCAGCATGTTCACCACAGACAGGGGCTCAGAGCTCACTGGGCAGCAGAGCAGGGCCTGGCTGCATGCACCCACCACAGGACTCTGAGGCCTAACTGGAACATGGGTCTGGGAAGGCATCAAGTGCCATCCAAAGGGACAATGTGACAGCTTTGTTCTAGACCCTAACTGTCCACAAGGGCAATCTGTCCAAATGGAGGGATTTGTGTGCCTTAACTAGAGCCCCAAGTGGACTGGGGACTGGGTGAGGTTCTAGAGTTTCTGCTGCTGGTTTCTGAGGGTCTGGCACACAGAGGTCCTCAATTTTGCCACCCTCCCCACCTCCACACACCAGGCCATGGCAGAGCTCACCATTTTCTTCTGGGGTTTCATCATCATAAACACTAAAAATTTACAAGCTGACGTTGTCAATAGTATCTCTCCCCTGCCTCCCTCAGTAAACCAGTTGTTGGGGTTATACTGCTCTATTCTATTATATGGCCCTTTTCATTAATTACCATTGAGGGGGCTGTCTTTCTCCTGCAGAGACACTGGTAGATTTGGACTGAAGTTCTGTACTCATGTATGCATCTGAAAGTTGGATAGCAAAGTTCAAAGGGAGCACTGGTGACCCAGTGGCGAGAAGTTGCACTGCAATCCCAAAGGCATGTGGTTTGAATCCACCAGCGGCTCTGTGGGAGAAGGAGGGGCAATCTCCTCCCATGCAATTAACTATTCTGAAAATCAACTGGAGGGTCAGCTATGGGTCGGTTTTGTTCATCAGGTCGTTATAAGTCATTCTCAGCACCTAAGAGCAATAACAACAGTAGTTCCCTAATTATTGGCAGCATCATGATGGATGATGAAGAGATTGAGATTGTTGACAGCTTCCGTTTGTTTGACTCTACAATCAACACTCATGGTACAGCAGCCAGGAAATGAAAAGATTAATTGCGCTGGGAAAGTCTGCTGTCAGAGACCTTTCCAAGGTACTGAGGGGCAACGATGTCAGTCTGGAGACTAAGGTGTGCCTGATACAGGCCATGGTCTTTGCAATCACTTGTTATGCATCAGAAAACTGGACAATGACTAGAGATGGTAGGAGAGTTGATGCCTTTGAACTGTGGTGCTGGAGAAGAGTACTGAATATACCACAGACTGCTAAGAGAACCATTAAGTTCATCCTGGAGAGGGTGAATCCAGGCTGCTCCTTGGAGGCAAGGATTCTGAAGCTCCGTCTGACATACTTTGGACACGTTGCAAGGTGGGATCAGATCTTGGAGAAGGACGTAATGCTTGAGAGGGTGGAGGGACAGTGCAGGAGAGGAAGACCCTCAATGAGATGGATTGATTCCATCACTAGGGTAATGGGCATAGGTGTGTTTGAGACAATAAGACTGGTAAGGGATAGAGCAGGGTTTAGGGCTGTTGTACATAGGGTCGTTATGAGTCGCAAGCAACTGGATGGCACATAACAACAACGTATGTATTCTTATTTATGTATTTCTGTGTCTGGGTCAGTTTTTGACTGCTTCATCAGATAAGTTAATTCTGAGTTGTCCCAAGTACTCCCTTTGGTATTTCCTGGAGGGCTGGGAACTGATCTCAGCATAGTTGATGTTCCAGCAGGTTTAGAGGCAGTAGAGTACCCATCCTTTTGAGAAGCTGCGGGAGGATTAGCATCGCGCGCCTTTGGGATTGCAGCACCTCGCGCAGACACTGCAGCAGTGTCTTTGGGACTGCAGGGCAGCTGCTGGGTCCCCAGAGCTCCCACAGGCCTCGTCAGAACTGACCCACAGCTGACCCTCCAGCGGGTTTTCAGAGGCAGTTAATCACACCAGAGGAGACTGCCCATCCTTCTCCCGAAGTCAGTCTAGACTACGGTTGGTCTAGTCTTTACAAATTCTGTTCGTCTGGAAACGTCCTAAATTCACCATCCTGAGGGATAATTTTGCTCAGTAATGAATTCTTGGTTTGCAATTTTTTCTTTGAAAAATTTTGTATATGCCAGCTTACTGCCTTCTTGCCTGATTTCTGCAGAAAAATAGGGAACTTAGTCTAACTTGTTCTCATTTGTAGGTAATTATTTGTTTTTACCAAGCTGCTTTCAATATTTTTTTCCTTAGTCTCTCATTTTGGAAAATTGATTTCTTGGGTTGTTTTTTTTTTTTTTTGAGGAGGGGTTTGTTATCCTGTTTGGGGTTTACTCAGTTTCTTGAATGCGTATTTTTTCCTTTTTCTACGTATCTAGGAAACTTTCAGCAAATGTTCAGTGATTTCCTCTGTGATGTTTTCTGTCTTTTCCTGTCCTGGAATTCCAATCACACACAAGCTATTCCTCTAGCTTTTGTCACATGATTCTTACACTTTTCTTCATTTTCCTTTTTTTACGGAGTGTTTTACTAACAGATTGCTATTGAAGATCTATCCTTCATTTCTTTAAGTCTATGTTCAATTTCTTCAATTCTGCTCTGAGTCCTTCCAATGTGCCATTTCTAAAATTTTAGTCTAAATGTTCTGAACTGCAATTTTCATATTGCTTCTAATTTTCCATTTATTTTATATATTTGGTCTTGCATAGTTTCTTATTTGTCTTATGTTTTCTGTGTTTTTCTTGCCCTTTTCCTCAACCTGTAAAAGAAACTGGAGAATCATTCTTTGGAATTCCTTCTTGGGAAGTTCAGGAGCATTCCTTCCTCTCAAAGGTCTTCTGATTCTATATTTTGTTCATTTTGGGGTTCATCTCTCCCTGGGTTGTTGTTGTTTTTTTGTTTTGTTTTGTTTTGTTTTTAGAGTTTAGAGCTACCTGGTTTAGCTGAGTGTGTTGCATCGCGTGCTAGTTTGAGAATTCCTAATGTTTCACCTCCTGTATTCTGGCAGCTGAGGCTGGGTCACATGTAGCACCTCTTTCCACTTAGGGGGCAACTAGGGGCGGGATACACAGCCTGGGACAGAGTTTCTGCTGACACCCCAGGAGACTAAGCTAGTGCACCTGGTTAAGGATGCTATCTTTGCCAGTTGAGAGAATGGATACAGGCAGGCAACCAGAGATGACTAGTGTGACTGCTGGCCTGAAATGTCCAAGAGCGGCACACACGGCAAAGCGTGCACTGCTCCAAACATGGCTGGGGGGTGTGTTGGCCAGGGTGCCCAGGGACAGGGGAGGGGCCACATTAGACGTGGTGCCCCTACTAATAGTGGGGCTGACGGCGGCCCAGGTGCAGTGTAGAGCCATGCATACTTCTGGCTCTGAGGCAGGACGGCCCCCGTGTGGCTCTTTCTTCGCTGTGATCACACGCACGACTTTAAATTGTTTTGACAGTTGATACTAAGAACATACCTGCGGCCGGGTATGCTGGTCCAGCATGGTGAGCTGCACGTATGTCTGCAGCGTGAGGCCCCATCGGCAGGGGTCATGGTACATCAGACCCTGCAGAAGGAGAATGCAGCACTTTACTTCAAAGTGACATCTGCAGGACCCTGGTCTATCTAGGTCACTGCCAGCCACCTTGGGAAACCTACATGGAGCGAGAATGGGGCCAGACAGGCCTGAGACAGAACAGGACAGACAGAACAGTGCCTCAGACCCAACTCAATCACAGGGCCTTCAGAACAGGAAAGACAGAGACAAGCACTGCAGAATCACAAGCGCGGCTGTGACAGGAGCCCATATAAAGTCCCTGGGATATTCAATGTTCAGTCAATGCATGAGCCTCTGCAGCCTGTCGTCTACCAGCAGCCAGAGTGGCCTATTAAATCTAAACCAGCCAGTTCATGCTACCGCACTACCCCGCCCAGATGTTTCCAAGAGCTCCCTGTTGCATTCATGTCTAATCTAGCGCTGCTACAACAGAAATAACACAAGGGGTTAGTTTAACAAACAGGAATTCATTCTCTGGCATTTTAGGGAGCTGGAAGCCCAAATTCCGAGCACCAGCTATAGAGGAAGGCTGTCAGGTCTAGCATAAGGTCTTTATCTACTTCATCACTTGTGGCCTTTTGAGATTTCTGTATGTCTCAGCATCAATTTCCCCGAGTCTAGAAGGTTCTCAGCACCTGGACCCCAAGTCCAAAGCATACACTGCAATCCTCACTCTTCTCTCTGGGTACTGAGGTTTCTCCTCTGCTTACTCCTCTCCCCTTTCATATCTTGTAAGATAAAAAATAATGCAAGTTCACATCCCCGGGAAGCTCCCCTGATGCAGGGGTGTGACATGAAAAGAGTGAGCCATCCCAGCTTAATCCTCTTAAAAGGGACTGGCTGATGACATCAGATAACCTCACGAGGGATTATTCTATCACTAAACAATTGCCAGGCCCCTGAGAATCACAGCCCAGCCAAGCTTATATATATAACATATATTCTGGGGAGACTCAATTCAATTCATGATGAGTCAAAGGAAACTCCAAGCCCTCATGGGCCACAAGGACCCTGGCATTCATCCTTCTTTCAGAAGCAGAGAGGCTGAAATTAACTTTACGGCTCTGTCTTCTATCTTCCCACCCTGGGCTGTAGGACCCAGGAGAGCAGGGGGCTTCTTGTCACTGCTCCAACATCTACAATGTGTCTGGCAAATGTGATGCATATTCACTGAATGAATAAACAAGCACCTACTATGTGCTAAGTGATGCATTATTCTAGCAAATAATGGCAAAACAGAATAGACATAGTCCCTGCCCCTAATGAAACTCGGGGCCTAAGGAACCACATAAAGAAAGAGCACTTGCTTGTGTTGCTAGAAATGGGGTGAGGTGGGGGAGACAATACAGGCTTCAGAGTCCAAGGTTGAAATTTATCTGTCATTTACCAGAGGCATGACTTAGGAGTTACTTTATCTGAGCTGCAATTTCCCCACCTGAAAAATGAAACTAATAGTACCTAAGTCAGGAAGCTCTGGTGGCCTAGAACATAGGGCGTCGCTCTGCTAACCCAAAGGTGGCACTCCTCCACTGGTTCGAATCCACCAGCAGCTCCAAAGGACAAAAATAGTCAATCTCTTCCCATTCAATTCACAGCCTTGGAAAACTAACTGGAGGGTCAGCTCTGAGTCAGTCCCAATTACAAAGCAATGAGTTGTTGCTGAGTACTTCTGCCACATGGCAGGAACCCAGAACCTACGTTCTCTCTTAAGCTCCCAGCTCTCCCACCAATCAGAACCTTCGGAGCTGGGAATGAGGAGGAGGACTGCCTGCAAAGTCTACCCTGGGAAGAGTAGACAGGTGGGCTCAGTGTGGGCCAGAGGGTGCACCTGAGCTTGGATGTGCCTCGTGCAGCTCAAATCAGTGGTCTAGGTTACTTAGAGACAGCACACGGGAGGCCAGGCCTGGGTTCTCAGGGACTTCTTGAAGACAGTCAGCGATGCATGGTCAAAGGTGGCCACCTGAGAAAGCAGGTGGGAGGTGGCCCCTCCCAGTCTCAGATCTCTGACTTCAAAACATCAACAAGCCACTATTCTCCACTTGTCTCCTCCTTCCTCCTTGACGTGACCAGCAGAGCAGATCATGCCCAGGCAGGACACCAGGCTCAGACATCAGCACCACTTCTGCCTGCTGCCTGAGGGGCACTGAGTTCATATCAGAAAACATCCCGCTCACCAGAGGATTGTGCCCATGCACATTTCTCCACTTGGACACAGGCTCCGTCAACACCTACAAGGAAAGAAAATATCAGCTCTTCCTTAGTTCTGAGCTCTGGGGAAACAGAGGCTGAGAGACAGAGATGAGTCCAGATTCTGGCATCCAGGGAGGAGCAAATTGGCTGAATGGGTCCTACTGCAGGCCACAACCCCTTCTAGACGTGGCTTCCAAGATAATCTGAGAGGATCCTATCCAACTCTATAGGTAGGCTTATGTGTATCCCCCTTCTCTGACCACTGTGACTCCTCAAAGCAGGCTAGTCCTCCCCATTCCACCCTTGTGTGTTCCTGCCCAGCCCCCAGCCCACACAAGCCACCATATCTGGCTGGCAGGTGTGGGGGAGGAGCCCAGGAAGAAAGGCTTACAATGTGAACTTGAAGTCCGGGTTCCTGGTAGAGAGGTCTTTCACGGCCTCAGCAGATGGCTGTGTCTCCATCTCCGCTCTGATCTTTTTGTGGGGCGCACTGGCAGCCAAGAGCCCATGTTTCTTTAGCAGCCTCCTGTGGACCTGGTTTGGGAGCCATTCTTTCCCACTAATCATCTGAACCTTTCAATTAGCTGCCAACTTCTCCACTCATAAGATGTAGTTCAGGCCCTCTGGGGAGCTTTTAGAGCCTCCATGAGGGCAAGGCTTTTTCCTCCCCTCAATCCCAGGTTGAATGTGAGGACATATTCTTGCAAGAATTTACATGTCGTGCTTGAGGTCAAGATTTTGAGACTATGTAGATCCATCTGGGGACCTTCAGAGAGCACAATAGCAGGACCACGGGACAGAAGAGCCCAAAGCAAAGCAATGGGACACTGAAGAACACATACCCTCATGTGTGCATGTGCCTGTGCATACACACGCACACGCACACACACACACACACACACACATTCACACAGCTGAGCTTCTACACAAGCTGTTCCTTCTACCCAGAATGCCCAGCCTACCCTATTTCACATTAACCTTTACCATATGGAAAACTCCTATACATCCTTCAAAATCCAGTTCAAATGTCCCTCATCTGTGTCTCTCTGTTCCTCACAACCTGCTCTCCTTCTTCTGGGTCTCAGTACTCTGTTCCTATCCCGAGCTGATATCCACTACTCCATTCACCCACCAGATGCTGGGCCACTGAAAGCCTTGCTCCCTGGGCCCAGTTCACACTTTTCTAGAAATACCAGCTTGACCTACACCTTCTCTAAATTACTCCAAGCCTTTTCAGATTCCTTGGCGTGCAGCGTGGAGGCCATACCTCTAGGTCTGTTGTCCTGGAGAAGAATTCCAGGCATGTGGTCTTCCCACTTGCAATATTGCCCTCCACACAGATCTGGTAAAACATGAATTTATGTTAAAACCAAAAAATCAAGCACCCAGGGGATCATCAGGGAATGACCTTTGGGGAAGGGCCCGTGTGGACAACATAAATTGTTCAGCCTAAGACTCCAATGTATAAACCAAAAACCATCCTCAGGAAATCTCCAAGATGCTGTTATTAATCAACAAATTCTCCAAAGTAGCAGACTCACACTTCCCTCCCCCTCACCCCAGACCTTCCTAGAGCACATGCATATACTTATGTCTTTCTTACCCATCCTAGTTCTGCCTCTACTCCTAAGACACAAGCATCCTGCCTGCATTCCATCTTTGAGACTGGGAAGCATGCTATTGTGGTTCAACAAATTGCTCTTATACACCCTTTCTAGCCAACTGGATAACATCTAACAACTGAAAGTACCACACTCGCTGCTTTGTGCAAAATAAAGCACCCTGTCATTGGTCAGAAAAGTTGAAGGGAGCTAACTGAAAGGAATAAAGCAAAAAGACAACTCAAGCTTACACTTCTCTCACAACGCCCCAACTGCCCAGGCTGTAAATCTTAACGGGAGGAGAGTGCTGGCAGATTTGAACTACTGGCCTTTTGGTTAGACCTGTTAGTTCCCCAGGTGAATCTTCCAAATACGTAAGAATCACCTGTGAATTTTCCATATATATAAGAATTACCTGAGAATCTTGTTAGACTGTAGATTCTGGTCGTGTGTATCTCAGGTGGAAATGTAAATTCTCAGCAATGGGTTGAACAGGAACCAGTTGAAAGCCCTGGTCTTGGGCATCACCAGCCCCTCTTAAAACTCTCCAGGTGATTTCATGAACAGCAAGGCCTACAGGTCTGTGTCCAGACTTTTCAGTGTGTAACCCACAGACACCCTGCTTCAGAATCCCAGAAGAGTCTATAAAATGTGAGGTTGCTGCAGCACCAGGCCCTCCAACTCAAACTATGGGCTGGGTCTCAAATCTGCTGCCTAGCAACAGACTAGCTCAGCTCAGCCAGATGCTACCAGGCACACCAGTCAAGTGGCTTTGCCTCCAGCAGCTCAAAGAGTGGCTCCACAGTAGTAAGACACACAGGTAAGAGTGAACACCCAGAACACTGTGACAGAGTGGCCTCTCAGCGGAGACACTCAAAGCAACACAGCTCAGTGAGGGGGCAGGCTCCTTCTCATGACCTCCTGTAGTGGGCTATCTCACCTGACCCACCCAGGCCAGGCCACTTTAAAGGTTTCCTCCCTCCTTGATCCTACAGCCACCAGAGGGCTCAACAGTGGCACTTCAAGCAGATGTCAGGTCACCTACCAACAGCAGGCTCCCACTAGTACCTCTGTCAAAACCCCAAGACTACAAAATGAACCCAATTCAAAACCTAATTCAGGGCCATCAAGTTGCTTTGGACTGTGGATGCTCCTCCCTCAGCACTCCAGAGACTTCTAGGCTGTAAGTTTAAAGAGGAGGAGACAGCCTCATTTTTCTCCAGTCTATTCAAACTGTGGATTCTTCCATTAGCAGCCCAAGATGTAACAGGCATTTGAGTATAATATTACAAAAGAAAACGTGCATAGATGACTAAATAAAAAACCAGTAGGATCTGTAAGCTGTCACACAAAACAAAATTTTAAGAAATATCTGTTCTTTATGTGAATATAACTGTGACTTGTCTCTTAAATCTGGTTTCTAATCCAACAAATAAATGGGCCCTCATCTCCCGCATGCTAAGATCCACTGGAATGGATACATAAAAAAGGAACCTTACCACTGACTTTTTCTCTTTTTCATTTTCTCCAGCTTTATCTACAAAAGAAACCAATGTTTAGACACATATTTAAATTGTTAATGTGTTTGCCCTAATTTGCTAAACCACCATTAAGAGTCACTTTTATGCTGGTTTCTTAGCCTAAAAAGGTTTTCCATGACCCCTGGGACTTCCGACGCAAGGCTGTAATCTGACTACCGCTATATCCCTGCCTGAGTCCCGGCTGTGTGCTCAGCTTTTTTCACTTAATGCACTTTCCATTTTTTCACCTATTTTATATTTATGACCTCCGCAGAAGCGTGTCTGTCTGTCAAATAAAAACGCTGTATGGCCTCTACAAACAGCATAGGGAGTACAAGTAGGTGCGAACCAGGTTTCTGGTCCCCCTGCCTGACCACTGATGACTCTGAGGGGCGCCCCAGGAGCCCGTTCTAGCGAAGCCCTAAGAACCCCAGAGCTTAACTAGAATGACTGTTTCCATTTGGAGGAGGCTGGAATCTTACTCCTGGAGGGGAGAGACTCACGTCACCTAAACTACCCACTACTAATGTCAACAGCATCACTCGGGGACTGGCCCCCAGTTTTGCTCAAAACCAGAAGAAGTGGACCAGAAATGGGTTGAGTATTGGACCTGGGCCTCCCTATTGGGGGTGATGGTGTGTTTCCCAGGCAGAAAGGCAATGTCCAGACTCGCCAGCCCCGGCTCACGTCGGGGAACCCGCCCATCACCGTCCCCGTCCCCGCAGCCAGGGGAAGAGTAGGCGTCCCGCCAGCGCGAGGCTGAAAGTAGGGGCTCCCCGGTGCTGTCAAAGCGCGGACGCCGGGCTGGGGACCCAGGGAGGCGGAAACAACGAGACGCGTTACCCGGAAGCTCAGCTCGGCGCTGCGCACCCCGCGGCCGGGGTCCCGGGACGGGGCTCCCGGGCCTCCTGAGGCTCCCGAGCCCTGCGCGACGTACCGCCCGGGAGGCCGAGCCCCACAGCGGCCGCAGCAGCATGGCCCGGCGGGCAGAGCGGAGGCCGACGTCCCTTCCTGCGCGAGCGGCCCGAGCGTGGCGCGACGTCCCGTCCGCACGCGCCGCCGAGTCCGCGCCGGCTCTTAAAGAGACCCCGCCGCCTTCCGCCCGCTGGCTCGGCGCGCCTGCTCGAAGCTTGTCTGGGGCGTCTCAGCGCTGCAGCGCCGGCGGGACAAGTTCTGCACGCCTCAGGGACAGACAGCTAAATCATACCAGCAACTTACTACTACCTCCTTGAGGGTCTTCCTTCCCCCCGCCCACTGGTCCCTCCTGATAACATGGCCAAAGAGTGTGTGTGTGTGTGTGTGTGTGTGTGTGTGTGTGTGCGCGCGCGTGTGCGCGTGTGCCTGAGAGATGAAATCTCATGAGCCTCACTTCTAAGGAGCATTCTGGCTGCAATTCTTCCAAGACACTGCTTGTTTGGGTTCTTGAGAAGTCCTTGATATATATGTTCACTGCTCTTCAGCACCGCAGTTCAAAGCACCTGCGTGGTGTGATTTCAATCCACAAGCTACTTTGCCTAAAGTGTGTCAGTTGGCTTCCTTAAAGACGTGCAGAACCAACGTATAGCTGACCCACCTGGGTTTCAGAGGCTGTAAATCTCACTGGCGGAGAGGACTCATCCTACTTACAGAACCGCGGATGAATTCAAGCCGACAGAGATGAGATGCTCGACCTTTGGGTGGTGGTGGTTGTTATGTGCCGTCAAGTCCACTCTGACTCAAAGCGACTCCACCCCACATGTACAACAGTTCTGAACCCTGCTCTATCCTAAGCCAATTTCATCATCTCTGACACACCTAACCCCATCATCCCAGTCACTAAATCAATCCACCTCATCCAGGGTCTTCCTCTCTTGTGCTGTCCCTCCACCCTTCCAAGTATGATGTCCTTCTCCAAGGACTGGTCCCACCTTGCAACATGCCCAAAGTATATGACGCAGTTTCAGCATCCTTGCCTCCAAGGAGCAGCCTGTTTCAGCCTCTCCAGGGAGGATCTGTTTGTTCTCTTAGCAGTCCACCCTATCTATAATCAATGCTCTTCTCCAACACCACAACTCGAAATTACTGATCGATTATTTTTCTATCATCTTTAGTTATTGTCCAGCTCTCTGAGGCATAGCAAGTAGTTACGAAGACCAAGGCCCGGATCATGCCCTCCTAGTGATAAGTGCTATGAGAGTGGTGGTAGCTACTCAAAAGGAAATCCTCTCTTAAGTTGACATTTGAGATGCCCAAGGTATGGGAGGCCCTTCTCCTCCCTCTGGTCGCTTGAGGACACGCTTCCAGACAGCTCCTTGGGAGAGCTGATGAGCAAGTGTTATTAGCTCGAGGCAGGACGAAGCGTGGTCTAAGAGATGAAGACAGCTTTTGGCCGAAGGGACCGCCCTCTAAGTCCCTCCAGGTCCAAGAAGTTGTAAACATAGGGGTGGGGCGGGGCCAGGGGCGGGGCGAGCGGACCCGGGGGGCGAGGCCCGGGGAATCCGAAGGCGGCTCCCTGAGACGCATGCGCACGAGCGCGCGAGGGCGGGAACCCCGGCCCGGGGAGGGCGCGGCGGGTCTCCCGGGCCGTTAGGTCGCTGCGCCGGTGGAGCTGAGCGCTGGGAGTGCGGCCACTATGCCGTCAGAGCAGCGGCGGGTGCCGAACCCGGGACCCGCCGCGGAGAAGCATCGCCCCTTCTGCTTGAGCGTGAAAGGCTTGGTGAAGATGATACGGCTGGTGAGGGGATGGGCTGTGGGCGGGGGTCGTGAAGGTGGAGCTCCTGTTTTCACTTTCTGCCTGTCCTTCTGGAGCAGGGGCAGCAGACCCCGCAAGCACGGAAGTCCCCATTCGTTCACGAATCTGCAGCCAACAGTCCCCACCTGGGTGTCATCACCAAGGTGAAAACGTGTTCACTGCACATCCGTGGAAGCCCTAGTTTACTTTGCTTGCTAGGTCTTCCGCGCCGTCAGGGATTGTAAAGGTGGAAAGAGGCATGGGTCCTGCAGGAAGGTGTTGTGGGATCAGGAGACAGGGGCCAGCCATAGCTAGAAAGCAGAACCCTTGATGTGGTGGAAAACGGAAACTGGTGGTGGTGGTGTGTGCCGGGCAACCCCAAGCACTCCTCGATTCCTCCCTAGAGACAAGAGACAATCTGAGGTCCTGTTGTCACCCTCAGAGAGATGACCCTCATAAATCAGGATCAAGAGCAACGTGAATGACCACACTTAGACCCACCTATCAAGATGCCTTGGTTCCTGGACGAGGAAGACACAGACGCACCATCCTGCGCACTCGCAGTCATGAGTTTGGAATACTGGTGCCCCGAGGTGTGAACAGAGAAAAGCAAGGACCTTTTAAGGGCATTACCAAACAACAACAAGACCTGTCAGGAACTATGCAGTCCTGCCCCCATGATGCCCTGAGAGTTCATCGTTAGGAGGAAGTTGACCTGCTTAGGAAAGTGGAAGATATCCTGTAAGAAAATACGGACAGAGTTGAGGGAGGAGGCAGCAACCACTAACTTAAGAGGAAGGGAACAATAATTGTAAAATTTCTAAGTTGACAGGTAAAAGGATGGAAATAGTTGAGCGTTAAAAGGAAGACAAACTTGCACTTCTTATAAAGAAGAAATTTATTTGAGAAAAAAATCCTAATATTTAGTGCCCACTTGGGAAGGGACATACCCAAATAGCAAAGTACCCACGCATAGATGGGCGTGGTGAGACGCTTACTAAGAAGGTTCCAACATCAGCTGACTAGAAAGAATAAATTAAAAATAAAAAAGAATAAATTACATGCCACACCCTTCCCACTCCAGAGTTTGTGATTCTGACAAACTGAGTCAGAATACATAAGGAACTTGTCTGAAATTCAAAAGAGAGAGAGGTTACTTTGAGCTGTGATTAAATAAAGAGGTGGCCTAGGGGCAAGAAGGTGTACTGCAATCCCAGAGGTGCACGGTTCAAATCCACCAGATGCTATGCTGGAGAAGGAGGGACAATCTCCTCCTGTACCAGTCAGATATGATTTGATGGTACACACACAAATTAACAAAATAAAATAAAGAAATTACCTGAATGTCTGGAGTTTTAGGCCGGGAACCCTGAGGGAAGAGCAGGATTTTGTGAGGAAGATTTCATTTTTGACATTGTAATTGCTTCAACAACATTGTGGATATTTGTGTTTAGCTCTGAACTAGGAATTGGAACAAATAAAGATGAACCAAGACATGGTTCTCAAGCTCATGAATTTCTTCACTTGAGTCAGAAAGACAGATATGTGAGCAGATAGCTCTACTATGTGGAAAGATGGAGATTGAGCACAGATCTCATCAGAAGGAGCCGGGTTAAGAAACTCCCTAAATGAACCTTGAGTGGAAGGGAGTCTGAACAAAGTCATGGAGCAAACTGTAAGCAGTTGAGTGATATCTCATTTATTCGCTCAGCAAGTTTTGGGTTTTTTTTTTTAAAAATGCCTACTATGTCCCACATGCTGCTTATGGAGTCTCTCTATTAGTGTAAGAGGGCATGAGAGACAAAGAGCATAATAAATTATGCAGTGTCCTAGGAGATGATTAGGTGCTATGGAGCCATAGAAAAGTCCAGCCAGGTATGGGAATATAAGACTCAGGGCAGGAAGAAGGGTTGCAGGTTGTAGTAAGAAATGGACTAATCAGGTTGGGCCATGCTGTGATGACATCTGAGCAAAGACTTAAAAGAGTGGAGGGAGTTACCTATGAGATGATCTGGAAAAAAAATTATAAAGGCAGTGGAAAATCAGGGCCCTGTGGAAGGAATGAGCCTGAAGGTTCAAGAAAGAGCAGTGAAATCAGGGTGACTTGAGTGGAGTGCATAAGAAGGACATCATGGGACATGAGACTGGAGATTTTGAGTACGGAGTATATGATACTTTGAAAATGAGCTATGGTGGCCAATCCTTGCAGAGGACCCTTGAGTCGGAACTAATCCAAGGCTGACACTCCAGCGAGTTTTCAGAGGCACAAGGGAGGAGATTGCCTATCTTTCTCCCATGGAGCAGCTGGTGGATTTCAACCACATGCTTTCAGGTTGGCAACACAGCTCCTTACCTCTAGGCCACCAGAGCTCCCTAGTGATAAGCAATTGGATAAGCCCAATGTCAGGCAGTTCAAATCCATCAAGCACTCCACAGGAGAAAGATGGGCATTCTCCTCCTGAGCAGTTTTCTGGAGGGTCAGTTATGAGTTGGTTCTGACGCGACGAAACATAAGAATGTTGAAAATAGATAGGAGGCGACGTCTACAGGATCAAGGGGAGAGCCAAGGAGACCAAAATCTATTGCAGCAGTTTATGCAAGAAAGATGACAGTGGCTCAGACCGAGGTGGTCTCAGGGACAGGAATGTGAGGTAGTCATAGCTGGGATTTATTTGGAAAATTACACTAACAAGATTTGCTGATGGACCAGACACACAGGTTGTGAGAGAAAGAGTGGAGCCACAGATGATGCCCAAGGATTTTTACCTAAGCACCTGGAAGGATGGAGTTGCCATCAGTTGAAATTGCAAAGCCTGTGGGTGATACAGATGCAAGAGGAAGATAAGAACTCAATTTTGTTTTCTTTTGTTTTTTTTTTTTTTTTGGAGCACTTGTTAATCCGTTATGAATTTTGGATTTCAAGGTTAGATTAGAGGCAATTATTAGATAGCCAAGTGGCAGCCTGAATAGGCAGTTTGCATATAATTGCTAGATATCATCGAGTCAGAACCCCCTCACAGCAGACCCTCCAGTGGGTTTTCAGAGGCAGTAAATCCCAAGGGAGGAGACTGCCTGTCTTTCTCCCAAAGAACAGCGGTGGATTCGAACCATATGCCTTTGGGTTATTAGCATAACTCCTTACCACTAAGCCATCAGAGCTCTTTAGATAATAAAGCCATACTGAATGAGATGACTGAATGGAAGGCTGGAAGGACAGTGCAGGAGAGGAAGACCCAGGATGATTGACTCAGTGACTGGAGAAATGGGATTAGGTCTGTCCAAGACAATGAGATTGGCACAAGATAGGGCAGGGTTCAAAGCTAGTATACATAGGGTCACTATGAGCTGCAGGTGACTCGAAAGCACACAAAAACAACAACAACAGCATGAGTGATCAGGTAGAAGGTGGCAACATCATGTGGTGAATACCGAAGGAAGGGTGTAAGATGAGTTCAGTCTGGGGCCTGGTGAATTTACTTCATCAGATTCAAGCCGTGGTCTTTTCAATTACTTGTTATGCATCTAAAAGTTGGACAGTAACTAAGGATGACAGAAGAATAACCGATGTCTTTGAGGTGCAGTGTTGGAGAATAGTACTGAATATCCCATGGACTGCCAAAAGAACAACTAAAGCTTGAAGAAAGTGCAGACAGAGTGCTCCTTGGAGGCAGGCATGGTAAAGCTTCAGTGCACATTCTCTGGACATATTATTAGGAAGGGCTGGTCCTTGGAAAAGGTCGTCATGCTTGGAAAGGTAGAAGATCAGTGAAAGAGAGGAAGACTCAACGAGGTGGATTTTCACAGTGACTGTAACAACTGGCTCAAGTATATCAGAGATGATGAGGATGGCACAGGAGAAGGCAAGGTTCTGATCCACACTGTTCATAGTGTCGCTGTGCGTCATTGTTGACGCAACAGCACCTAACCTAACCACCAACATAGGTTATCCAAGGAGCCCTGGTGGCAGAGTGATTACGCACTGGGCTGCTATCCAGAGGTCAGTGGTCATGGCGGAAAGACGAAGCAGTCTGCTCCCATAGTGAGTTATAGCCTTGGAAACTTTATGGGGAAATTCTGCTCCGTCCTCTTAAGGCCACAATGAATTGGTGGTAAGGAGGTGTACTGCCAACCCAAGGGCATGCGGTTCAAATCCACCAGCTGCTCCACAGGAGAAAGATGGGCAGTTTTCTCCCACGCGACTTACAGCCTCTGAAAGCCCGCTAGGGGGTCAGCTATTAAGTCAATTCCAACTCAACTGTACATAACAACAATGGTTGTTGTTTGTTGTTGTTTGGTGCCGACGAGTCGTAGACAACTCATAGCGACCCTGTGAACGAACGGCCTGAGCACTGTTCGTACATAGAGTTTCCGGAGGCAAGCCATTTCAGAAGTGGATGCCGCTCCTGCTTCCAGGCTTGATTTAGTCTGGAAGCTCCAGCCAACACTGTCCACCGTGGGTACCCGTTACCACGATTGGCACATCACTGTCACAGTGTTTAGCATCACAGCAACCACGAGTTCCCTCTGTACAGCAACGCACAGACCAGTGCTATACCACCTAGAAGAATGTTTGACAGGAAAACAATTTGAACCTGGCCGAGGGCCACAGAGGAAAATCACCCACCTTCGGCTTGGTAGCATAACTTCCTTTCCACTAGGCCAACGTAGCTCTCTCTGTCGTTGTCGTTGTTATTACAACAATAGTAGTAAAATAAAAAAAATTTGAGTTAACCAGATGGAAGGTGTAAATGGCTATGCATGAAATTTGGAGGACAGACGTGAGATAACAATGCAGATTCAGTAAGTAGGCTGTGGGCAAAACTCAGGGGAATGCCAGCATTTAAAAGAATTAGTGAAAGGAGAGGCTGCCATGTGCCATCGAGTTGGAAATGACTCATACCTGACCCCGCAGCAGGTTTTCAGAGGCATGGGAGGAGATAGACCATATTTCTTCAGAGGAGCAACTGGTGGATTTGAACTACATGCCTTTGGAATGACAGTGCTACTCCCTCCCCCTAAGCCACCGGAGCTCAAAAGGAAAAGAGCCCACCAAAAGAACAGTTACCAAGGTTTAAGAAAACTCGAAAAGTGATATGGGAGCCAAAAGAATAGTCAAGGAAACCACAGGGTCCAGTAGAATAAGAACTGAAAAATAATCATTAGATTAATAACTCTGAAATGATTGGTGAGCCTTGTAAAGCAATTTTCCACAGTGGTGAAGATATCATAGAGATGTTAGGCTATTTAAAAATTAATGAGAAGAAAGTTACACATACTATAACATGGAGTAGGGGAGAACCCATTGTTACAGAAATCACTGAAATTTTAAGAAAATGAAGCAATGGCCAGTGCCAAATACCATGGTGTGGAAAGCTTATACACATAGAAGGTGGAGCCTGGAAAAGTGTCGCTAGGTTTCCTCATTTCCGAACCTCAGAGCGTGGTTCATTAGAATAAACCGAGTGGTGGTAGATGGCATCCCTGGAGCAAAAGCCCCTTGATTGTGACTCACGGTGGTCCTCCAGCAAGTCTCCAGGGCTTTAAATGTCAGCAGCAGGATACCACCTCAGCTGCTGGGCCTTGGCTGGTGAATCCAGACGGCCCGCCTTTGGGTCAGCAGCCCAGTATGCAACACACTGCGCCATCATGATATAGTAATGAGATAATAAAGCGTCAGTCATTCGCTAGTTGAGTTTACACGCACACTTTAGAAGTTTGAAGGTAGGTTGTTTTTATAATATTCTGAGGCTTCGTCTGACATACTTTGGGTACATTGCAAGGAGGGGCCGGTCCTTGGAGAGGGACATCATCCTTGGGAGAGTGGAGGGGCGGGGCCCTTGATGAGATGGATCAATCCAGTGATTGGAGTAGTGGGAGTAAGCGTGTCGGAGACAGTGAGGTTGGCACAGGATAAAGTAGCGTTTAGGGCTCTTGTACACAGGGTCGCTATGAGACGCAAGCGACTCGACAGCACCTAACAACAACAACAGTGATTTAGAGAATATGCATAAGTAACTTGTATGAATTTGAAGAACACGTGGTAGATGTTACCAGCTGACTAATGATGAAAGCCGAGCAGAGGAGGGCTTAGCAAACGTCCAACAAAAACGCAAAGGCAGAACAGAACAGTCCTTCACCATGGAGTTGATAGAACTGTCTGAGACTGACCAGCTCATTTTTACCTTCAAAAAGTCACTTAAAGTTGCTTTATTTAAAGACACAGCCCAAGCTGTGCTTTAAATACGGTTCCTGGACCCACATGAGTGGCAGGCAGCTGCACCCGGACAGGTGCGTCAGGTGTGGGGAGGAGGAGCAGCTGACTGCCGAAAAGGCATGTGAACAACCCATGTGGCAGGTGAAGCCACGCCGTTGCCCCGAGTCCCACACAGTGCGCCATTCCATCACAGCCCCGCTCACCGGCACGGCCGGGCCTTGGCAGTACTGTTAGATTTCAGTTTAACAGTAGACCCCAGGTTTTTTTTTTAATTTTTTTATACTTTTTTAAAATTAATTTAAATGAAAGTTTACAGAGACGTAGGGTTTCCAGTCATTCACTGTTGCACTTTTCTCCCTGCTAACCCCTCTCCCCCAACTCACCCCTCTCCTCGAAAAGAGAATGAAAAGCTCTTTTATTGTTATGCAGTCGCTCCCCGCAAGTCCACTCCACTATGCAGCCTTCACTCTGGACTTCTGTGGTGACAAGAATACCCATTCATATATCCCTTTTAAACAATTCTCTCCCTCATCTATTTAAACGCAATATACATCTTTCCTCCCCTCCTTCTCTGCCTTCCCTCAACCCCAATGTCAGTCCCATTTTACAACAGTGGCGCTATGCAATATTTGTCCTTTTGTGACTGAGATACTTCACTCAGCATAATGTCTCCAGGGTCACCCATTTGAATAATATTGCATGAGTTCCTTGTTTTTCAATGCTGCATAGTATTCCATTGTGTGAATGTACCAGAGCTTCTCTATCCATTCGTTTGTTGATGGGCACTTGGGTTGTTTCCAACTCTTTGCTATTGCAAATGAAGCTGCAGTAAACATGGGTGTGCATGTATCTGCTTGGGTAGCAGTTATGGTTTCTTTAGGGTAAATTCCCAGTAGTGGAGTTGCTGGTAGACCCCAGATATTTATGAGGTTAAGAATGATGAGTGGTAAGTAGATAAGCCTAACAGGAAGAAGGAAACAGAACTGTGGTTTCTGTGAGAAGCAGGATGAAAGAGAGGAAATGGTATGTATATGTGAGTGTGTTTTAAGGGTGACCAGATGTAGACAGGGTAGTGAGGAATGGAACTGGTGGAGGAGGAGAGACTAACAATGCGAAAGTGAAAAGAAGGTATTTCAAGGGAAAACATCAAAGAGAACAGATCTAGAAAGTGACAGTGTCGGGTGTGTAAGTGGGGTAATGAACTAGGCTTAACACAGAGGAGGACAGCCAAGGCTGTAGAATACAAAGAGAACGAAGGGTCTTACACTCCAGCCATGCTAAGGAGCTCTGGTGGGAAGGCCCATTACTATGTTAACCAGAAGTGCAGAGGTTCGCGCCCACCACAGTTCCCCAAGAGGAACATGGTAAGTCTCCTCCTGCGAAGGTTTACAGCTTTCACATCCCAGTGAAGGGTCACCAGGAGTCAGAATTGACTCTCTACAGCTTTGGTTTCGTCAAGCTGTGTTGGTATGGCAAAAAATGTAGTTGCTTGGTTTTGTTGTTGTTGTTGTGGGGGCGGGGAGGTGCTTGCTTGTTTTTTGTTGATTTGGGTTTGGGGTTTTCTGCCTACTTATTTTTAAAAATTATCCATTTTTACAGCTTAAAATTATATCCAATAATAATTGAATAGCTTTTCTTTTTTCTTTCTTTTCCTCCTTACAGGCACTATCCACGACGTCTTTGACATTTTTTACCATGGCGGAAGCCCCTGAGCCGTATATCGTCACCACTGGATTTGAAGTCGTCACTATTTTCTTTTTTATAATTTTGTATTTATTGAGACTTGACCGATTAATGACATGGTTATTTTGGCCTTTGCTTGTAAGTGTTCAGTGTTACAGTTCAAATCTAACTACTTTTCTCTAACACATGTCTCTCGTTTAGGACTTTGAGCTTTTTAAGGAGCTATCTGATAGGCTCAAGAACGAGGACCCCATTGTTCCTGACTTCTTCTCTGAGATGTGCTGGCGTGCTGCTGTACGGCATGCTGTACCATGAAAGGTTGGCAGTTTGAATCTTGCAGCTGCTCTTTTAAAAGATGAGGTGGTTTCTTCCTGTAAAGGCTCCCAGCCTCAGAGCCCGGGTGACGGATGCCCTGAGTTGACGTCAACTCCAGGGCAGTGGTTTGATTTTTCTTACGTTCCCATATGTGTAGTAGGTGTGGCTAACCCTCCTTCGAGCAGAATTCACTCTGGTGTAGATCTTCTAAGAAATTTCAATTTAATGTTGGTGAAATTCTAGATATTCTTTTTTATATATAAAAGACTTGGGGGGAGCTCTGTTGGCCTAGTGGCAAGAAGTGGCACTGCAATCCCAGAGGTGTATGGTTTGAATCCACCAGATGCTCTGCTGGAGAAGGAGGGGCAATCTCCTCCTGTACCAGTCAGATCTGATTTGACGGTACACACACACACACACACACACACACACATGACTTGGAGAATTCACATTCATTGAATAACTGATGTTATACAATCTGGGATAGCTGAATTTGTAATAACTTTCACCCTTTTTGCACATTTATTACTTTCTAGCACCAAGAGGCTCGGTAACAGCCTGACGTTGACTCAGTAGTGGGATGACATCCATATTCCATTGGCACTTTAATACCAAGTCCTGTGTGACTTCTGTCATGTTCCCAGCAGATGGCCTAGTGCCCTCCTTTCTGTACAATCCGGGCAAACTGACTAGTGATGGCAAGTGTGGCATCAGGGAAGCGGTCCACACAGCTAGAGAGATGATGTTCTGTGTGAGAGTCTCAGTGATTCCCCAGCTGAAACTATGGAACGCTTCACAGATCCGTGTATCATCCTCGCACAAGGGCCATGCGAATCTTCCCTGGAGCATTCCAGTTTTAATATGTGCTGCTGAAGTGAGCAGGAAATTCTAGATATTCTCTTGTTCTTTACCTTTTCCTTGAGTGCATGTCGATATGGCTTCAAAACTGGGGAGAGAGACTCACGCAGGCGTTCCAGTGTCTCTGCTCCCACATTCTGTATCTCACACTACCGAATGGAAAATCAAGCTCGTTGGGAAGGGGAGAGGGCACTGAATAATGCACTAGTTGACAGAGGTCTATAGGCATTAATAAAAGTCATCTTGAAGAACCTCGCTTAGCAGCATGCAATCTTCAATACACACAACCCCCCCCCCCAGAAGAGCTACCCAGTGGAATTCCTAAATGATTATCTGAAGGCGGCCAAAAGAAGCAGGCTAAAGACGTTTGTTCCAGTTTTATTATGGAGCGACTGGTCCCACTTGGCAAAATTCTTTCTTGCTTTAGCTGAAAATCGTTGTTGTGTTCCATCAAGTCGGAACCACATCCTAGCTGACCCTCAGCGGCCTTTCAGAGGCTTGACCATTGATTGCTTATCTTTTTTTCTGCAGATTCGAACCACGTGCCTTTGAGTCGACAGCTCACTTCCTTCCCGCTAAGACCACCGGAGCTCCCTAGCTGAAAAGAGCATAGTTAAAACCATTCCCCAGGGGAGGTTTTTAAAGTCTCTCTTTAACTCTATTAGTTGTTGTTTACCATCAAGAAGCGACCCATAGATGACCCTGGGGTGGGGGGAGATTCAGAGGCAGTTAATCACACAGGAGGGGATTGCCCATCCTTCTCCCACGGAGCAGCTGGTGGCCTCAAACCAAACTGCGCGTGTCCTTGGGATTGCAGCTCAGCCTTCTTGCCACTAGGCCACCAGAGCTCCCCATAGTGGAGGCGGTGATGGTAAAAATGATGACATTCTCATCGTCTGTGGGGGTGCAGTAGGGAGCTCTGGTGACCTAGCTCATAAGGAGCTGCGGTACCAACCGACAGGCACACTTCTGGGGGGGTGAACCTCCCAGTGGCTCCAAGGGAGAAGGACGAACGGTCTCCTGCCGTGCAATTTACCACCTCCTGAAAATCCACTAGAGAGTCAGCCAGGACTCATTGTAACTTGGTGACCGTGAGTTATAGATTTGCTGTCGTAGTAAGAACTGAAGTGAACAGACTGCCAGGATTTCTTTTCGGACAAATCCTAAGGAGTGAATAGTGGGGGACTGTCCAGAGTTGAGGATCTAGGCTTCACTTTCTCCTCAATTTATCTGCCACCAGGATTAAATCATGCTGTTGCACATAGTCCTTAAATGTCACACAGAAAGCCCAGTTTCTCCCGGCTCTGAAGTTGCTGTATTGTTGGTGTTGAGTTGGCGCTGACTCATAGTGACCCCGTGTACCACAGGATGTTCTGTGTAATCCTGCACCATCCTCCCAGAATCCACTGTGCACAAGCCCACTGTGTGGCCCCATGTCAATCATCTTATTGAGGGTCTCTTTCTTGCTGATTCTCTTCTTTTCTAAGCATGATGGGCTCTTCCATGGACTGGCTGGCCTCTGCTAATAACCTGCTTGAAATATGTGAGGCAAAGTCTCACCACGCTTGCTTGCAAGAAACATTCTGACTGCACTTTTTCCAAGACAGATTTGTTAGTTCTTTTGTGAATTTATGGTATGGTCAATAATCTTCCTCATTGTCAAAATTCAAAGGCTTCAATTCTTCCATCTTCCTTACTCACTGTCCAACTTTCACATGCATGGAAAGCAATGGAAATACCATTACTTCAGTCTTTCAAATGACATCCTTGCAGTCAAATCGGATCTGACCGGTACAGGAGGAAATGCCCCTCCTTCTCCAGCAGAGCATCTGGTGGATTCGAACCACACACCTCTGGGATTGCAGTGCAGTTTCTTGCCACTAGGCCACCAGAGCTCCCTTAATTTCTTTTCATTATTTTTTATTTGAGTAAAAATTTATAAATCAAATTGGTTTTTATTTAAGCACACATTCAAACAAGCATTTTGTTTTCTAATATTAATTGCAATTAATATAATTAATTCATTACAGTGTCTCATCAACTCTTTATTATATATTGCTTTTCCCTTCACCCAGCTTATCTGTTCATCAGCTTTTAACTCCCTCTCCAATCCTTCCCATCCCTGGTAACCATCTAAGAATAATGTTATAAATCTTTCCTTAGATTTTTATGGCCGCCTTATACCTTAACAGTTCTGTGACATTTCTGTGGCTTACTAAATGTCATTCCGCATTAGTTCCTCTAGATGCATCCATGCTGTGCAGTACTTTACAAGTTCTTTAACATTCTTTAGTGTTGCATAATATTCCATTGTGTGAATATATCATCGTTTGTTTAGCTGTTTGTCTGTTGCTGGACCTTTGCTAAGATAAGATGATCTAGAAAATTAACAGCAAATTAAGTAGAAATGTACCTGAAGCCTAAAATGATCCTGAAATATTTTGAAAGCTAGATTTTTTTAAGGAGAAATACAGACAATAAAGTACATGAGTATGCCAACAATATCCTAAACTTAAAATGATAATTTTTCTATGGTGAATATAAGAGCTTAGGTTGTATCATAAATGTAGCCTATAGAAAGATCTATTTCTTTTACTTAGATGTTCTAGATTAAGAAAACACAAATAATTGCAAGAATTTAATATTCAGAGTGAGCTCTGATAGCCTAGTCAATAAGGACTTGCACTGCTAACCCATAGGTCGTGGTTCAAATCCACCAGCTGCTCCTTGGGAGAAAGATGGACAATCTCCCATGTGATTTACAGCCTCTAGCGAAAACCCTCTAGAGGGTCAGCTGTGAGTCACTTCTGACTTGATGGCAGTGAGAGAGAGAGTATTTCAAATAGCTTGTCAATTGATTTTCTATAACTAATTATTTTTCATTCACCTTTTAAAGGAAAATGTGTATGTTTCATAAGTGTTTCAAAAGTATTGGCCCTTTTAATAATATCTGCTGATGTCCAAAAATCGGTGCACAAATTATTTTCTAACTCCAACATAAACAGCAAGGTGGTAGATGAAAACAACTTTTCTATTACATTTAGAATGTTTTCTATTTAAACAGATCACTAGTGGTTCCTGTGTTATAACTAACTTACTAACAGTTCCCATTCTGTGTTTGTCTTGTCAATCAAATGTTATTGTTCATATTTTAACTCAAGGCATGGGCCTATAAGAAGAAAATCATTCTAGTGTATGTCTAACCTTTGGCCTGGGGTATTATGCGGCTTCTAGGAGACCTGAGTGACCTTGCCTCTCACTTCTCCAACACCCCATCTCCACAGGATGCCCTTCCAAGTCAAAGCTACACTGTAGGACAGTAGTTCTGACCCATAGTTTATGAGGCTGTAAATCTTTTTGTATTTTTATAAGCACAGTTTGTATTTAGGATTAGCCAGCCAGGCTCAGTTTAGATGATCCCAGTTTTGTCAGCAACTTCCAAAGCATCATAGTCAGGAGCTAATCGAACGTAGGCCTTCTTGTACCCCTCGGGCCTCATCAAGGTGTTGACCTTGGCCACATCAATGTAATAGAGCTTCTTTACACCTTGTTTGATTTGGTGCTTAATGGCCTTGACATCCACAATGAACACAAGTGTGTTAGTGTCTGTCTTCTTCATGGTTGACTGAGTGGTCAGGGGAAACTTGATGATGGCATGGTGGTCAAGCTTGTTTCTCTTGGAGTCGATCTTCCGGGCTTATTTGGGCTGCCTTTGGAGTCTCAGCGTGGTAGGCTGCCAGAAGGTGGGTGACATGCAGATCCTTTTGTGTGTGTGGCTGTGGATGCCTTTCAGGAATGCCTTCTTGGCCTTTAACACCATTGCTTTGGCTTCAGTTTTGGGAGGGGCCTTTGGTGCCATCTTCATAGCGAGGCCATAAATCTTGATGGGAGCAGCCACCTACCTCAGCTTTCTCCCTCAGATCAGCTGCTGGATTTGAACCACCCGTCAGTGTCATTTTACTGTGGCAGTTTGGTTTCCTGAAAGATATAAATTCTTTTTTTTTTTTTCAGGAAAATGACACTTTCAAAACAAATGTTTTCAGAACTGATATTTTTCCCTGCTTGACAATCTTCATAGAAAGCTTGTTTTTCTGTTCTGGGCTTTTAGGATATTATCAACTCATTGGTAACGACAGTATTCCTGATCATTGTATCTGTGTTGGCACTGATACCAGAGACCTCAATGTTGACAGTCCTTGGAGGGGTAAGTGGATCCCATTCTGGAGTCTTTCTTAAGGTGTGAGCAGAACACAAAGTCATCTTATAAACAGATGCAGGACAGAAATCAGCACTGTATTTATAACTGAGCTTTCTGGGTCTGTATGCAGTTCCGTGTGGCTGCATGAATTCTCCTGTATATGAACGCATGGCCTGATTAACACCACAGAACAGGATTTCACACTCAACAGGAGCTAAGCAAATACCAAGGCTCCTCCTGCTCACAGCCTCACATCTCAGATGTCAGAAATAATAATTTTAAGGCCTAGAAAATAAAGCTGAATCATAATAAACACCTTGCAGACATAAAGATAGCCCGGTATCACTAGATCAGTCTGTTTCTTTATACCCTGCTTGCTTCCAAAAAGGATTTAAGCTTGCCCAGGAAAGAACTCAATAGAATGAAGGTTGTAAATATTTCAGATGAGTGAAAAACCTTAACAAGTTATTAAAGCTATGAAATAAGAGAATATCTTTTCAGAAAATCTAGAGTGAAGGAGCAGCTATAATTAGTCCTCTGAGGGCCCTGATAGTCAAGTTACAGCAAAGCATGGATGGGTGAGTTTCCTACGTCTCTCTTAAAATAAAAGGATATTTTTGTTGTTGTTGTTGTGTGCCTTTCCAGAACCTGAGGATGCTCCACTCTCTTAGATAAAATGGTGTCGTGTTGACACAGAGCCCATGCAATCTAGCTTACTTCCAGTAACGAGCAGATACACAGGAAAGGCTATGTAAGCAGCACCTGAGTATCTAGAGAACCTTCATGTTCTTTTCATTCCCGTCCCCTGAGTTTTCCTTTCCTAAGGCCCTGGTTAGATCCCACTTTTTCACTGTATGCAGTGTTATTGTTGAGTATTCACTAAGCATCCTATCACTCGAGTTCTCCAAGTAAACTGATGTTCCCATGGTTTTATCTTGAGCTTCTGTGTGAAGTGTGAACTCCAATACGAGTTTGGCAATGCAGAAGTCAAACAGAAGGCAGGGGATAGCAATGTTAGTTCATAACTGAGTAGGTCATTAGGGCTTAAAACCATACATACCAATCACGGGCAAAATCTAGCAAGAACTGTCAACAGATATTTATTGCAAAACCCATGGCCACTTCCTACTCAATCTCCTCCCGTGAGCTCCGGTGGCCTTAATTTGTCAGCAGAATGTCAGCGCTAGGGTCCACCAGCCGTCCTGCTGTCTCTTCTGGTGAAGATTTACAGTCTGGGAAGCCCAATGGCTGGCTGTCGCTGTAAAATCCGGATCGACAGTGGATTTTTGGTGATTTGGGTTTCTCAGCAGCAGGTTATCTGTAAGGTCCCTTCCCTTTTAAAGGTGTTCTGCCGCAGAGCAGGGGGCAGCCCCAGGGCTTCAGGAGGAAACGCTGGGGTGGGGCTCCCCGAGGCTGGCGGGGTCAGTGACACTGTCTGTCTTTGCAGGTGTTCGGACTCCTCTCGGCCGTGAGCTGTATTGCGGATGCGGTCCTTATTTACCGGAAGCTTCTGTTTAACCCGAGTGGTCCTTATCAGAAAAAGCCTATTCATGACCAAAAACATGCTCTGTAATGTTGCATCCTTTTCTAGTTGCTAAGTATTAAAAGTCTTTGTTTATTCTTCCACATCTTCTCTTTCTTTTCTCTATATGGGGTTGCGGGTGGAATTGCTGGGCACCTCCCTCCCACTGCTTGGGGACTGGGGGGTGGAGAAGCAGGCTACTGGGGTCCACCCTGCCTGATGGGGGGGCAGTGGGATTGCAGGGACCCCGGCTCCAGGGGCCTCGCTTTGGTGATGCTGCCCTGGTGGTGGTGACTGGGGAGTCTGGGGTTCTGCCTCCGCGAGGCGCGCGAGGGACAGCCGTTGGGGCCGGCTCTGGCCTGCTGACCGGAGTGGTGCTCGGAGCCGCAAGGCCGTCCTGCGCCACCAGACCCCCGCCGCCCACCATGGCGTCCACCAGCTTCCAGTCAACCGGACTGGCCTACAAATCAAGGTCTGAACCTGGAAGTCAGGCCATTCGCCTAGAGCAAAACGTCCCAGTGAGCAGGCCGGCAAAAGCGGAGCAACCAGCTGGGGTGCCAGGCACCAAGCCGCCTGACCAGCCGGTGTCCCCCGTAACCCCTGAGCCCACCTCCCGCTACACGACCGTGTCTCCAAAGTTGGAGAGAGGCATCAAGAAGCGGGCCGAGGGCCGGGCCAGAGTCCCGCAGCTATTCCGGGACAGCATCAAGCGTTTCTTCTTCTCGCCGACCGGAATGTTGAAGGTCCTGAGGATGGTGAGCTGGGCCCCCGGCTGCGAGATGCAGGCCAGCGGCAGCCTTGGGGGCTGACGTCCACCGGGGCCTCCTGGGGAGAGTACCATGCCGACCCGACCCACTCGAGTCTTCTGCCTCCTTCTCCTCCTCTGCACCCTTTCTTTCCCTTAACGGCCTCAGTCCTTGCCTAAATTCGGCTCTTGTTTTTTTGCCGTTTCTATTTCTTACGTTTACCCGCCCATACACTTTAAAAAAACAAAACAAAACTTTTTAAGACAATTTGCATTTCCATTCATTCATTGTTGCACATTTTTCTCCCTGCCCACTTCCTTCCCCAACCCCCAGTTTGCTTTTCTGGGGGGGGGGATTCTTTTATTGTTATACAATCCCTTCCCAGTCCACTTTACTATGCAGCTCTTACTCTGGACTTTTGGCGTGCCAATAATACCTAATTATATAACCCTTTTAAACAGATCTCTCCCTCATCTGTTTCAATGCAGTGTACATTATTTATCCCCTCTTTTTTTTTCATTTCTCCCCAAACCTGATGTCAGTCCTGTTTTATAACAGTGGCATTATGCAGTATTTGTCCTTTTGAGATTGAGATATTTCACTCAACATAATGTCCTCCGAGGTTACCCATTTTGTAATATCATGAGTTCCTTGTTTTTCAATGCAACATAGTAGTCCATTGTGTGAATATACCAGAGCTTCTCTATCCATTCGTTTGTTGATGGGCACTTGGGTTGTTTCCAGCTCTTTGCTATTGTGAACAAAGCAGCAATAAACATGGTTGTGCATGCACATACACTTTTTTAAAAAACAAACTATTTCCATAGAGTAGCTTCTGTTTCATTGAGACCCTCCAACTAGTTTCAGAGGCTGTAAATAAGTATCTGAAAAGACTGCCCATCGCGGCTGGCAGGCTTGAACCACCCATCTTTTGGCTGACAGCCCCATCAGAGTTCCTCTCACATGTACAGTCCTTTCCAAAACAATGTTGATTGTGCAGAAGTAGAATTTTTCTGTGTTCTCAGCATACTGAGTTAGGGGGTTAAAAATAATATTCACGGTAAGAAGAGCTGGAGCTGCGGGAGGGGATCATGTCGAATTCAGAGCTCGGCAGGAAGTGGGACCGGTGCTTGGCGGATACGGAAGTGAAAATAGGTACTGGTTTGGGATTAGGAATTATTTTCTCACTTACCTTCTTTAAAAGAAGAATGTGGCCATTAGCCTTTGGTTCTGGCATGGGATTGGGAATGGCCTACTCCAACTGTCAACATGATTTCCAGTCTCCATATCTTCTTCATGGAAAATACGTCAAAGAACAGTGACTTAGGCCTGCGATCATCCCAGTGGGAGAAAAAGAGAAACCATGTTTATTCCTCAGGAATATTGAAGTGCCCTGGAGTAAGCTGACATTCTTCTGGAACAATATTATCAGTAATGCTTTATACTCCAGCACAGTTTATGTATTTGAAACCAAGTCTGTTTCTTGTTTTGTATTTTCTCTCTGGAAATTGCAAGAAGGTGGTCTTAAAGGAAATAAACAAAATAGGAAGCCCAGTGGGGGGGGGGGAATATTCACTTGTTAAGTTGATTTTGTACAAACTACTTCCACCTTTGCAGGTTGCAAACTGAACTGACTGGTCAGTATTGTTGATTAGGGTCACTGCTTGTCCGTGATAGGGAAGTTCTGTTAACTTAATTGAAAGAGTAGTACCGTCCAGTTATTAAATTCACAGAAACAAAATTTTGATGATACTATCTAGTGGGAGTTTTTTTACGTTTGGGTGAAATTTGTCCACTTCTCAACTGGTGGCATTTAAAAACCAGCATACCCTACAACCAGGAGAGGATAAAACAGATGAATGGGCCCTTCTAAGAATCAAATCCCCATGTACATAAAAAAACTTCTCCAACAGGGTAAAAAGGGAAGCCATAAACTGGGAAAAAATATTTGGTAATGACCTATCTGATAAGGAACTTATATCTAAAAGCTGTAAACCACTCAAGCACCACAACAAGATAAAGGTAAATAGCCCAATCGAAAAATGGGCACAGGACATGAACAGACACTTCACCAAAGAAGACATTCAGATGGTGAACAAACACATGAAGAAATGCTCAAAATCCCTAGCTCTAAGAGAGATGCAAATCAAAACAACTATGAGATATCATCTTACTCCAGTCAGAATAGCAACATTTAACAAAAGAGCAAACAACATGCTGGCAAGGTTGTGGAGAAACTAAGAACACTTATTCACTGTTATTGGGAGCATAAAATGGTGCAACAACTATGGAAGGCAGTATGGGCCTTTCTCAAAAAATTGGAAACAGAAATACCATCTGACCCAGCAATTCCACTACTGGGAATATACCCTAAAGAAACCATAACTGCCACCTATACAGATATATGCACACCCATGTTTATTGTGGCTTTGTTCACAATAGTAAAGAGTTGGAAACAACCCAAGTGCCCATCAACAAAGGAGTGGACAGAGAAGCTCTGGTATATTAACATAATAGAATACTATGCTGCATTGAAAAACAAGGAACTCATGAAATATTTTACAAAATGGGCGACTCTGGAGAATATTATGGTTAGTGAAATATCTCAGTCACAAATGCATAGTGCCACTGTTGTAAAGCGAGACTGACATTGAAGTTGGGGAAAAACTAAGAGGGGATAAATAATATATATTGCATTGAAACAGATGAGGGAGAGAACTGTTGAAGAGTGATATGTAATTAGGTATTATTGTCATGACAAGAGTCCAGAATGAAAGCTGCATAGTGGAATGGATTGGGCCGGGGAGAGGAAGGGACGGTTACTGTATAACAATGAAATAATTATTTTAACTTTTCAAAGAGAAAATCAAACTGGGGCGGGGAGGGTGGCCAGGGAGGAAAGTGTACAACTATGATTGAATGGAAATCCAAAGTCTCTATAAACTTTCAGTAAAATAAATAAAAGAATTTGGAACAACCCTAAGTAGTGTAGAACCCCCCCCCCAAAAAAAAGAAACAGTAAGACATAATCATATTTTTCCAAAATGAAAAACAGATAAAAGATATTAAAAGCAGCTCGGCTGAAAAGGAAGAGTTATCTGCAAAGGAGAACTAATAAGACTACATGCCAATTTCTCAGCAGAAACCAGGTCAGCACAAAGGCAATGGAATGACATTTGTAAAATTCTGAAAGGAAAAAAAAAATTACCAACCAAGAATGATATACCCAGAAAAAACTGTTCCTCAAACATAACAGCAAAATTGGGACATTTTCAGTAAATAGAAACCAAGAGCATATGGTAAAATTAGGTTAACTTTACAAGAAATACTAAAGGAAGTTCTTGAGATCAACTGGAAATCAATATACATGACATGCCTTGGTAACAGATCCAGACATAGAAATGTTGTTAGGTGCCATCAAGTCCATTATGACTCATAGTGACCCTATAAACAATAGATCTGAAGCTTGCCCTGTCAAGCACCATTCTCGTGACCCATTTTTGTAATCACTATGTCAGCCCATCTTGTTGAGGGTCTTCCTCTCCTCTTCTACCCTCCAACTTTCCCTGCATGATGTCTTTCTCCAAATACTGGCTCCTGATAATATGACAAAAGTCAGTCAGATGAACTTTTACCATCCTTGCCTCTAAGGAGCACTATGATTGCCAAAAGACATAGGAGGAATACACAAAATAAATTTATGAGATTAAAAATAGGGAGTCAGAGGTATCAGTCCATAAATGAGAACAACTACAATGGAAAAGGGAGCTCTGTGGTAAGGAGTTGCACTGCCAACCCAAAGGGACGTGGTTTGAATCCCTCCATGGGAGAAAGATGGGCATTCTCCTCCCATGTGCCTCTGAAAACACCCTGGAGGGTCATCTGTGAGTCAATTCCAACTCTGTTACATAACAACAGCAATGCAAAAAAAGGAGTAAGTAATTTGATTACAGAACTTCAAAACAGGAAGTAAAGGAAATTTCAAGATAAAGTGCACTCTTTCCAGACTTGAGAATAATACAGTAACTTACAGGGCAGCCTCAAGGAAAATGAATAAATTAAAGACAAAGAAAATGAATAAATAGTCTTATCATAATAAAAAGTGGGAAAATCATAGCTTTATAATTGCTGAAACAGCAGCAGTGAAGGAAATGATAGGAACAGCTGTAAACAAAATGAACTTGGCACAGAAAAGCATATGGAACAAAGAAATCGGCAAGACCACAAAAAAGAGTGCTGCCAAATGACAGCAATAAAATACACCTAATGAGAGGGAGCTCTGGTGGCATAGTGGTAAGAAGCTGTGCTGCAAACCTGAAGGCACATGGTTCGAATCCACCAACTGCTCCACAGGAGATGGATGGGCAATCTCCGCCTGTGTGATTAACTGCCTCTGAAAACCTACAGGAGGGTCAGCTATGCATCGGTTCTGACTCGATGGCACTCAACAATAGTGACACTAACTGTGAATCCATTAAATGCATCAATCAAGAGAAAAAGAGTAGCATAATGAGTAAAAAACATATGACCCATCAATATACTATCTATGAGAGACACAATCTATCTGAAAAGTCAACTATTCGAACCCACCAGCTGCCCCAAGGGAGGAAAAGAAGGTAGTCTCTTCCTACAAAGATTTACTTCTAGTGGTGCGGGTTGCTACGAGTAAGAGTCATGTAGTGGTCAGTGGGAATTGTGTATTTCTATGATGTGTATGTATAATTTCATTTTATAAAAAAAAATAAGAAATTTGAAAAAATGTACAAAAGACAATTACAACATGATCCTATTTCTGCTTTGACTATATCTTTAAGTAGCATTTACTATGCATTTTAAAAGTCCTGTTTCTTTTATTGCAGGGTCTCATCATAGGAGCTATATACTGTTTCATCCGTGCCGAAGCCCCTGAGCCCTTTATAGCCATCACAGTTCTGGAACTCGCCATTGTTATTTTTTTTATTCTAATATATATGGTGACCCTTCAGCACTTGGTGACTTGGTTAGATTGGCCCTTACTTGTAAGTGTTCCTGTCCATTATTTAAATATAAACTTTTCCTCCAGCCCTAGGGTAAAGGGTTTGTTTAAAGTGAAATGACAAAGCCCTGTCTCTCTGCACAAGGACTTGATGGGCTGGGTCAGTTAGGTGCTACTCTGTTCCTCGGGGAGAAAACAGCCCAATAACTCAGAATTCTTAAATAGAACTTTCCATAGGACAGCCAACACACCCCCCCCCGTCCTCAGCTCTGAGGATAAGACCCACCTTACACAGGCACCTGGTACTTACCATCCTTCTCTGTAGAATATTCTAATTAGTAATCCAGTATGTGAGCACTTCTCACCTACCATGATTCTTCTTGGCAAAACAGCACATTCTAACGGATTACAAATATCCATAGCCAAACTCATATTCATTATCTGAGAGCTGGACAATGGCCAAAGATGACAGAAGAAGAATCAAGGCCTTTGAGCTGTGGTGCTGGAGAAGAGTTTTTTGAACATTTTATGAACAAACGGGTCTGTCCTGGAGAGGGTGAAGCCAGTTCGCTCCTTTGAAGCAAGAATTTTGAAGCTTCATCTCACATACTCCAGGCATGTTTCCAGGAGGGACCATCACGCTGAGAAGGATGGAGGGTCAGCACAGAAAAGGAAGACCCTGGATGAGATGGATTTACACAGTGGCTGTGGCAATGGGGTCAGTTGTGTCTGAGACAGGGAGGTTGGCTCAGGACAGGTCAAGGCTCAGAGTCACTGTTCACATGGCTGGTATGAGTTGTAGTCAACTTGATGGCAAATAACAAAAATTTCAACAAGCTCAAAAACTCATTGTCATGGAGTCAGAACTGACTCACTGCTGACACTCAAGCTAAATCGCACAGGAGGAGACTGACTATCTTTCTCTTGCGGAGGCGCCAGTACATTTGAACCGCCAGAGAGGTGCAGCCTTTTTCAGCAGTGGAACTCTTCATCTGCCCCAAAAGCAAGAATCAATGTGACAGGAATTGTAGAAAAAAATCTACTGCATATTCACAAAGTGAATGCCTGGGTTCTTGGGTAAAGCCTGTTGTGTGCTGGGCCTCCATGCCCTACAGAAGCAGCTTGCCGATGAAATTAGGAGCACCGCTTCTGTCTAGAGCGAGATTCCACGTCCAGCTCCTGGCCCTGCCACCTTATTAACCACCTCGCCGGGCTAACCTAAACTTTAGGCCTCAGTTTCCTCTGTGTGGTGGTAATCAGCTCTGGTCAGGAGGACCTGCGCCCTCTGAGAGTAAGCTAGGTTCCCAGCAGAAAGCTGAGAGATGGGCAGGGCTGGTCACAAGACACCATGCTTTTCTGGAGCGTTGAGGAAGACTATTGGTCAGAATTGACTTAGCAGAAATGGGCATTTTGAGGTACTTTTCATGAACATGTCACCAGATGACCCTAGATGGTTGCTTTCAGAAGCTGTTGAGTAACTTCTTTCATTTGTACCATTCCTTCAGATAAAGTCATTCGGTACCCAGCTGTTGTGCTGGAGATCTTGGCAGGCCAAAGTCTGTCTAAGCCATCTTGGCCAAATTCTTTAATCATCACGATGTCTGCTTCAATCACATTTAATAAAATGAAATTTACAAGGGGGGGAGAAGCTCTTAGGTAGATTTTAGTGCACAGCGACCTCACCATAACACAGGAAGACTGCGCCCTAGACCTGTAGTCTTTCCAGGAACTGATCACCAGGTCTTCTACGGAGCTGCTGGGTGGGTTCGAACTAGCAGCGTTTTGGTTCACTGTTGAGCATTTAATCATTTGCACCACCGTTTTTGCTCCTATTGACCCTAGATGAGGCTGGGTAAAGTTGCTAACCCTAAAAATGGAGACAGTGGCTCTACCACAGTGGTGGAGCAGGAAACAGGTGAGACTGACAGGACAGCGGCTGCGAGCTGGACCTGTACCCTCCTTGGTAGCTGGGGATCCTGTGTGGCCTCACAGAAACAGGTGACTGTCGGGTGGACATGCTCACACAGGGCAGACTGTGCCCAGCTGGAGGAAGCTGGCATAATTTGAGCTACTCACAGCCCATATAACATCCCTGTGTGACCTGTGAAGAAGCTGGAGTATGACAGTCCTTTCTATAGTGGGTTTAACGGATCAACTGACTGTGTGAGGGGCAGACAATGGACTTTTGTCATCTGACAATATGCCGTGGGCTGGTGGCCCAATGTATGTAGCAGCTTGATCTCGTCCTCCTAATGTGACACTGGATCACTGTATTGATGATATTCTGCTAACCTCTAATTTCCTTTCCGATTTAGAAGCAGTTGCCACCAGTGTAAAACAAGCCTTGGAAGCATGCTTCCAATTTTGAAGCAAGAATTGGAAACATGGGGATGGGCAGTTAACAAGGTCCAGGGAACTGGTTGGTTTGTAAAATTTTTGTGAGTTGTCTGGTTGCGTAAGACTACAGTCTATGATAGATAAAGTGCAAGCTTATCCTAGACTCACTACAGTTAAGCAGTTACAGGGTCTTCTAAGTTGCTGGAAGATTAGAGGGTATTCATACCCGAGCTGGCTCAAGTACTAAGACTCCTGCAGGTGTTAAGGAAGAAGAATATCATCTGGGGATAGGAAGATAAGGAAGAATCAGCATTTAGTGCTGCAAAAACAGTAGTATTCCAGGCACAGACTCGCAAGTAGTGGATCCTACTTTGCCCTTCCAGCTGGAAGTGTCAACCACAAGTGGAGGCTCGGGGCGGGGGCGGTGGCAGACTGTCAGGCATGTCCCTGTAGGATTTTGCAGAAAGGGGCCAAGATTCGTTATAAACCCCTGGAACAGCAATCAGCTGCTGTCTATGTAACCTTGTAGAGTTGAGAGGCAATTCCTAGAATTAATAAGGCCCAGGTCAAGATTAAGTGCTTTGCTGTGGGATGGGTGAAGCCTTGGGCAGGAAGAACCAGAGTAGAAGAGTGGGGAGTTTATTTGGAACAGAGAGCTTAGCTGAACAGTAGTTCCCTTTTACAAGAGCTAAAGCCAGTATTAGGTCCCCTTTAGTCTGTAGCCAAAGAAAAGGAGGTACTAGTGAAAGGAGGTTATTGTTATAGTTGTTGTTATGTACTGTCGAGTTGCTTGTGACTCAGTGATCCTATGTACAAGAACCCTAAACCCTGCTCTATCCTGTGCCAAGCGCACTGTCTCCAACACACCTACTCTCATTACCCAACTCACTGAATTGATCCATCTCGTCGAGGGTCTTCCTCTCCTGCGCTGTCCCTCCACTCTCCCAAACATGATATCCCTCTCCAAGGACTGGTCCCTCCTTGCAACATGTCCAAAGTATGTCAGACGGAGCTTCAGAATCCTTGCCTCCAAGGAGCAGCCCAGTTTCACTCTGTCCAGGACAAACCTGTTTGTTCGCCTAGCAGTCCATGGTATATTCAACACTCTTCTCCAGCACCACAGCTCAAAGGCATCAATTCTCCTTCTGTCATCCCTAGTCACTGTCCAGCTCTCTGACACATAGCACGTAATTGTGAAGACAATGGCCCAGATCAGGTGCACCTTAGTCTCCAGCCTGACATCATTGCTGTAAGGCTCTAGGAGTTGACAGCAAACTAATTGACATATTTCAACAAACAGACACTGCCCTGGATGTGCTCACTAAATTATGTGAAGAAGTCTGCAGGACAGCCACCTGGCCAACTGACTGGAAGAGATTGATATTTGTTCCCATTCCAAAGAAGGGTGATCTGACAGAGTGCAGAAATTATCAAACAATATCATTAATATCACATGCAAGCAAGATTCTTCTGAAAATGATTCAAAAATGATTGGAGCGACACATCAACAGAGAACTGCCAGATGTGCAGTCTGGGATTAGGAGAGGCCATGGTACTAGGGATATTATAGAAAGTGTTCAATGGATCTTGGCAGAAAGCAGGGAGGACCAGAGGAAAAGAGATAATTAGCCTGTATTTAGTAGATGTGGTATTATCTCCAATGACTAGGTATACAGATAGGTCTAGCCAGGGACAATCCAATCAATGGGCTTCCATTGATTGCCATCAGGATGGACGTAGATAGGATATACCTAAGCTCAGAAGTTAATCAGAGTGCCCACTGGGCAGAGCTAAGAGCAGTCTGGATGGTAACAGGGTGTGAAGAAGAGCCCTGACATGTAGCCACTTGGACAGTTGGGCTGTCTGCAGAGGCTTAATTTTGCGGTTACATGCTTCGGTAGAAGAGCAGTTGGTGAATCACAACAGACCTGGATGTTTCCCAAGATCCTTTGCAATCTAATAATGCTGTGAAATTAAGTAGATTAGTAGCCAAGAAAAACTAAAGGCCATAAGCTCATCCCTCACTTTGAAGGGGTAGGCGAGATATAGGGTTGTTAAATAAGCAAACAAGAACAGGGCAGGGAAATCCCTTTAAAAGGGGTCTTAAATAGACTAATCAATCTTGTTATTAAAAAGGATATAATTTAAAGTTAATTCATGCACCCCATGGCAGAAAAGAAGGGCAGTGTACTTCTACCCTCCCTTATGTCTCTAGCCCCTGAAGAGACATGTCAATGGACATGGCCAGATAGATGTCTAAGGACACTTCCATTTGAAATGGAGAAAGGTGAGCATGTGTAGAACTAAATGTTCTTGTCCCAGTGCGGGTAGAACAGGAATGGCATGGTAAAACAGAACAGTCAGCTGCCAAAAGAATTGTGTATAACTGTTACTAAAATAACCAAGGCCCACACCTGGTGAACTGGGAGGAGGTATACCAAGAATACCTCTGTTAATAATTCCCCCTCCCTTGGTTACTTGTGGATTTGTAGCAGAAATGGGTGGCCCTACCTACCTACAAACTGGTTTGGGAAAAGTACTGAGAAAAACAATGCTTGACCTTGCCCCAGCTGCCACAAAAACGAAATACTGTCTATCATTGATGGTATTAAGAAAAGTGGACAGCACGGTGGTTGTATATTGGTTCCAGGTGCTGGTGCCATCAAAGTAAAATGAAAAATAACTGTCTGAGCTGGGAATACTGTAAGAGGGCTAAATAGCTCTGTCAATAGTAAGATCATCCAAATTTTTAAAAAAATAATAATGTTGCAGAACAGGAGGCCTTAGACCAGGTGCTGCCTTTATAGGCCTAACTTCCTGCAAAATCTGCCACCATTTAAGGGTTGGAGTGTTGGGGACTCTGTGTTGTGTATAATTAACAGGCAGATTTCTGCTAATGTGTCATGTGTCTTATATACAAGAAGCTACTTCAGCGAGTCTGCAGCAAGCACAGTAATGCTGTGCTGAATCCTTTTTAAGTGTAACCAAGCATGCTCACAACGTGGTAAGAGTAGTGGTCCATGTGCAAAATGCGGCAGAGATTCGTCTTTGTTCCAAGTACTGTAATAACTTGGTGGGAAGTTTTCTGTGCAGCTCATGGTACGGCTCATGTTCCTGTCATTAATGCAGTAAGGTGCAGATGCTGGGGGGTGTGGCATGCCTCCTCCCTCAAGTTTGTGTGGACCTAAATAAAGAGACGCTTAAGCCTCCTACAACTCCTTGGCTCTTTGTGTTTATTTTCCAATTGGCTACTGAACAAGAGCATCCGGCATCAGCTTTTTGCCTCAAATCTAACGTTTAAGATAATAAGCAAAAGACCTGACCTTAGACATAACAAATGGTGCTGTGAGCAAAATTTGAACATGGCAGTGGGTTAATATAGTCCTTATTATATTAAAATAAATGTATTGTGAAACAGAATGCAGAATAGACATTAATTCAAAATACAAAATTTCTAAAAATCCTATAACACTGTCAACTTTTTATCCACTCCCCTTCCCTTTTTCTTTGATGAAGTTAAACCCATTTCTGCAGACAAAATCCTATTCAGGATCTCAAAACCACATACAGAAATGCTTATCTCTGAAAGATGTACAAATTATGCCTGTCATGATCCCCCCACATCAAAAGGAACCTTTCTGAAAGACATTCATTCTCAGATGGACAACTGACCATTTGATATACTTTTTGAAATGAACCTTTACATGTGAAATTGACAACTCTCCACTCTGTGTTACAGGACTTTATGAACGACATCATTACCGCTGTGTTCCTTCTAATAGTGGCCATCCTGGCGATGCAAGAAAAGAACAGAAGGAAGGTGTTTTACATGGGAGGGGTAAGTAGAGGCCTTCAGGGCTCTGTTTAAGACGAGGACCCCAAGATGCTTTAAAACGGAGACCTCGCAAACCACTGTCATTTTATCCACAAAGCAAAATCTCTGCCACCAGCCCACCTCTCCCTTGTAGTGGCTTCTTAGACAATGTGATGCTGCCCTTTTACAATTTTGTTGTTAAGTGCCATCGAGTCGTTTGCGACTCATAGCGACCCTATGTACAACAGCCCTAAACCGTGCTCTGTCCTGTCCCAATCTCATTGCCTCTGACACACCCATCCCGATTACCCCAGTCACTGAATCAATTCACCTCATAGAGGGTCTTCCCCTCCTGCGCTGTCCCTCCACTCTACCCAGCATGATGTCCCTCTCTAAAGACCTGTCTCTCCTTACAACATGTCCAAAGTATGTCAGACGAAGCCCCAGAATCCTTGCCTCCAAGGAGCAGCCTGGTTTAATCCTCTCTACGATGAATCTGTTTGTTTTCTTGGCAGTCCATGGTACATTCAATACTCTTCTCCAGCACCACAGCTCAAAGGCGTCAATTCTCCTTCTATCCTCCCTAGTCATTGTCCAACTCTCTGATGCATAACAAGGGATTGCAAAAACCATGGCCTGTATCACACGCACCTTAGTCTCCAGAGAGACACTGTTGCTCTTGAGTATTTCGGAGAAGTCCCTAACTGCAGACTTTCCCATCGCAATACGTTTTTTTATTTCCTGGCTACTGGTGCCAAGAGTGTTGACCGTGGAGCCGAGCAAACTCAACCTGTGAACAATCTCAGTCTCTTCGCCATCCATCCTGATGCTACCGATTGGTCCAGTGGTGAGAATTTTTGTCTTCTTGACATTGAGCCTCAGTCCATATTGAAGGCTGCAGTTCTTGACCCTCTGCAGTAAGTGCATGAGGTCCTCCTCAGTTTCAGCGAGCAAGGTTGTGTCCTTTTACAACTATGAATATTATTATTATTATTATTATTATTATTATTATTATTGAATTACAATGATGAGACTCTTCATTCTAATACTCTTTCTCCAGACAAGTGCAAAACCAAGAGTCCTTTGAACCCCTTTGGAGAATTGTTGTTGTTGTTAAGTTCCGTCGAGTCGCAGGTGACTCATAGCAACCCTATGAAGGAGAGTCCTCGACGCTTGGGTGCCTTTCATCCTCTCTCCAAATTCATAGGGTTTCCGGAGGCAAGCTATTATGGAAGTGGATGCCACTCCTCCTTCCACGTTTATTTAATCGGGGAGTTCCACCCCACTCTCTGTCCGCACTGGGTAGCCAACCATTAACGCATTTGACACATCCGTGTCACAGTGTTCAGCCTCACAGCAACCACAAGTGACTGTGGGACAGCAACTTGTACACCAGGGCTATATGACCTAGAGGAATGTCTGAAAAAAACAACAAAACAAAACAATGAAAGACAGGCCCTCGGGCCCTTTTGGGCTTGAAGCCGCTGGTGCCTTCAACCCAAGGCCAAGTGTGGCTTCCCTGGCTCTTGGAGGCAGAGTTGCCTTTCTCCAGAGACCGCCACAACACAACACAACACAACTCCCACGTACACATCATCATGCTCTCTGGCCAAAGGATCAGACATGCTTATTTCTGAAATTTGGGGACAAACTATTCATGCCTATAAATAGTGCTTAAAGGTTCATTGCCAACACTGAGCAATCCAGTCTATTCATGAAGGAAGGGAGGAAGGAAGCGACACAAGCTGAAAGCCCACTGCAATCACCTTGTAGGACAGAGAACTGCCGCTCTGGCTTTCCAAAGGTGTAAATCTTTGCAAGAGCTGACTGCTTCCTCCTTCTCCTCAGAACTGAAACATCTTGTGGGTTCAAACTGCCGACCTTTTGCTTAAGAGCCAAATGCCTTAACCATAGCACCACCAGTGCCAATTATATGCCTCACAGGGGGCTCTAGCTACATTCTTACTCTTTACAATTCTCAAATTGTACCATAAAATTTGTACCTCAAATTTGTACCGATTCTCAGGGGAGCTCTGGTGGCCTAGTGGTAAGGAGCTGCAACTACAATCCCAGAGGTGCATGGTTCGAATCCACCAGATGCTCTGCCAGGGAATGAGGGACAATCTCCTCCTGTACCAGTCAGATCTCATTTGACAGTACACTCACACAAAAATAATAAAATTTAAAAAAAAAATTTGTACCGATTCTCAAATGGGCCATAAAATTTAACTGGGGTTAAATACTTTCTCTTGTGCCACAAGGCATTTAAGCACAAGGCTGAGACAAACAGGAACTCAAACAACCATCAAATCATCTGCATGGAAGAGCAGAAGAGATGTCAGATCAAATGGGTGAGGGGTGTGGGGAAGGCATTGTTAGGGCTGAAAAAGGTTTCAGTTTGATGCACGCAATTAGTACAAATGCATTGAGCCCATAGGTCTGTGCCAGCAGGCCCGATCTCCATGCTGGAGAACAGAGTTCCTTCCCTGGGGGTGCTCACAGGTGAGCTGAGGTGAATCTTAGCTAGAAGTTCAGGAAGTCGCCAGGGATTAAGAGACCAGAAAGAGAGACCCTCCAGCCAGTGAGGCACAGCTGAGCATTAAGGCGGGGTGCTGTGGTCACTAACTGCTAACTCAGCATCTCAGCTCTCTACCTGCAGGGCTCTCGCCTCCAGGCCCCTGTCAGCTTTCCATCACGGCAGCAACTCCCACCTGCTCCTACCCCCAGCCTCCTGTCACCATGTACTGTGTGGCAAGTGGGTTTTCTATTATTATTATTATTATTATTACTACTATTATTATTATTAGCGTGTGTGTACCGTCAAATCAGATCTGACTGGTACAGGAGGAGATTGTTCCTCCTTTTCCAGCAGAGCATCTGGTGGATTTGAACCACGCACCTCAGGGATTGCAGTGCAGCGTCTTGCCACTAGGCCACCAGAGCTCGCAGTAAGTGGGTTTTCAAAGTCCCTCACCACCATCCCTTAAGGAGTTAACTCTCTGGTAGAGCCTATGCTTCTCCAGCCTCAACTCGGCCCTGTCCCTCACCGACTCCACTGTCTCGGCCACATACCCCAAATGCCTGCAGTTCTCTTCTCTCCAGGCACTGTACCTGGGAACCCCTTCCTGACCTTTTAAACCCAGCCTAAGAGTTCTGTCTCCTGAGAAGCCTTCTCGCCACCCACCCCGACCTGTGTCCCTAGGACCCTTCCATGGTCCTGTCCAGGTGTGTCAGCCTCAGGGTGGTCACTATTTCTCAAATCCCCTCTTGCTGCCTCTGGGAGGGGTGGAACGGGCCTTGCAGCACCCCGCTGGCCAGTGACCAGGCAGGTGAGGACCGGCAGAGGGGAGAAGAGCCCATTACAGCTCCTGCCTGGAATTGGGAGCAAGAGGTCAATGCTGGGAGCTGCAAAGTAACCTCACCTTTACTTTTTCGCTTTACGGCCCTGCATCGGACAGGCCCTGTGTCTCGCAGCGTCCATCGTGTGTATCCTCGATATGGTTTTGGCCACCAGGAAAACGAGACAAATCCTAAAAGTAGTTCTGAAAATGAAGACGCCAGAAGCTCCCAGCTCCAAGACCGCGCAGTAGCAGATGCACCTCGGTCCCGCCACACTCCCAGCCCCAGCAAATACTGAGCTCGGGTGGCCCCCATGTGACCATAAAATCGCGGCTTCTAAGTCGGGAGCCACTCTTTATTGCCTTGTGTAAAAAGTCACTTTGCGTCTTTTGTGGACGTGGCCCCGAGGCCTCCTCCTCGAGGCCGCTCCAGACTGGAGGGGAGCCGAGCATGGCGGCCCCGCGAGGTGGCGGGAGGCGGCCGCGTGCGGTGCAGCCCGGGCGGGGAGGCGGCGGCGG